GAGTGCAAGTACTCAGTAGCACAGTTTACGGAAGAAGTCCCTCTGTCCTTGAAGATCGGGGATTATATCAATCTCCGTTCTCTAATTTGTTTTCTGATTGGCTCCCTCGTCTGTTTCTAAGCGAAAAACGATTCCTTTTCGAGTCACGAGAAAGATCCGCCTTGAAGAATCTACTTGACACCATCCGTTATTCTGGCTGCAAAATGTTGATGGAACTTTGAAACTTGCGCTCATATTTTCCACCATTGTTGTCTAGTCTGTGACGTTTTTGAAATTTAACGACACGACGCGATGTCCTTTTTCGTCATTAATCTTTCCTCTTTTCCAAATTTCTATGTTCTAATTATGTGCATATGAACGACTTTTCAAAGGTCCATCTCTACTGGAGATCGTTTGCTTACAATTATTAATTAATCATTTAAAAATATTACATTCGGTTTACATCAATAAAGTTTTTTTTCTCTCGTCGCGGTTTCATATGACTAACACAACTAATTCGATCTTTGATCGGTTTTTAACAATAGACGATTTTTTCTTCTAGTTTCGTTTTAATAAATTTCTAATAATAATTATTTAATTTTGACTCATTTTTGGGTCCTCACATAACTTTCCTGGTAATCCTCCGTGCAAAATGCTTCCGCCATTTTTTTCAACTTATTTCCCGTGAGTCAATGAGCGATGTTCACTGAGTCACGTGATGTTATGAACGGGTGCCTCAACGATTTTTACTTGGACTTGAAACTTTCAAACGTTAAACGTGTACTTCTGCTACCCGTACACGTTTAACGTTTGAACTTGTGCCTCAACCTCTCTAGTAACTGCTTAGATTATTTAGAAGAGTAGACGTATTATACTTGTAAATTTTACATATGTTTAAATTTAAAAAATATAGTACAATACAATTTTTGCGTTCTTTGATGATAAAATTTAGTTGCTGTAGAACAATTCTTTTCAACAAGACAACACTCACTCCCCTCGTCAATTTTGTCCCGCTTTACCAATGTTAAAATCTGGTCACCTTAATCTATACATTACGTAATTGAGTACTTATGGTGTTTGTGTAAGAATCAATGTACAGGGTGGAAAAAGAAAGCCGCTTAAAACCCCTGCTACGAAATATAGAATGTGCCCAAAGTTAATTTTGCTCGTGTCAGGAACATATCACCAAGATGGAAACAGAGTGATGCGTGTTACACATATTGAGCGCAACTCCGAAACTGTAAATGGGAAGGGGGTCGTGTTACTTATCATTTAGGGGTAAGAACTTCACAAGAAATTGATTTCTGAAAGATTTATTGACCTACTTCAAACGGTTACAGAGTTATGAATTGAAAAACAGACAACGCAATGCCTCTAACACAGGAAGAACACACACAAATCGCCCTAATGGCACGGGAGAAAAGTTCGAGGGTGATTGCACAGAATTTTAACTAATGTCATCCACACGTGGTCAACCTACTCCAGGAATTCTGAGAGACGGGATCGGTTCAATGCGAGATGTTTTAAGTGACACTAATAAATACGACAAATAAACTATTTTTAAATCCTGTTTTAAAAACAATTCTCATAATCAGCGTTAACACGTACTTTTATAATTTGTTGTGTTCGTAAAACAATCGATTTTTCGTATGTCACACGACTGATTATGTACTAACAGGAAACGGCGAAACAATGTTTAGGTGTCTCATTTATAATCTGTTCAATATAATATAGAATTTGGTCGCGTGACACCGAGAATACTGCGAAAGCTGGAAAAAATAATTTTAGTTTCACATACGTAACAATAAATTATCGAAGTAAAATATATATTGTCACTTGCATCACAGCTTCCGATTGAGGTGGTGTAGTTCGAAACTCTTATGAATTCCACGTTGTACGAGTCACTTAAATTTTACGAATACGTGTGCCGGGCTGTGAACGGCTCACGTATTTGTAAAATCTAAGCGACTCGTACAACATGGAATTCATATAACGGAATTATCAACGGTGTTATAGGGGGGTCTACTGTACTTTTTCTTGCTTATTGATATAAATATGGCAACAAAAATGACACAACTTCTATAATATTGGATCTGCAATATTAATAAATGTGCAAAACAAATTTTTATTGGTATAACATTCGCTTAACGTTAATACGATATTGTTCCTGCCACTGCATACGAGGAGACTAAAAACTGTATACGTAATATTTCTGTTGGGAATGACGAATCAATATCACCGACGTCATAAATGATCGTAGCAATAGTAGAGGAATCGAATGTCACTAGTTCGGTATTCCGCTTTATTGTTGATTGTTTTCTGAGGAACGTATTCATTACTTTAGTGTGGAATGAAATAGAAGTATCATTTGCGCAAGATGAGGTTTGTTATCATTTTACAATTCTTATTTGTAGTGGTAAATTCTTGTCAAGAGTTTTGGAAACGTTGGGAAAAAGTTTCTTGTCCATCATACAAAAACTGCCAATATTCAAAGAAATCATTTATTCGAATATACCCCTCATTTTTATTTATCGGTTGCCGGAACGAAACGATTGACTCTCGTTTCACGCAATGTTTGGACGTTAATATAACTGTAAAATCAATAACATTTTCTAATTGTTATTTGTCGGGAATCGATTTAGGAAATTTCACGTTCGGGCACGAAATCGAAAGCATCGAAATAATGCCTTCAGTATACTCGCACAGAAGAAACTTCGACAGCGCTTCATTTAGTAATATGTCGTCTCTGAAATCTGTCGAAATTCATCGTGTGTGGACTTCCGAATTGTTTAATATGACTTTCCGCAATGTTTCTTCTCTGACTTCTTTGATAATTGATATGTATAATTTTACTTTATTTCCGAATAAACCTTTCCGAGATTTAATTAATCTTACCGAATTACATATCATGATGGGAGAGTTAAAATTTTTACCAGCGGATCTATTTTACAATCTTCAAAATTTGAGAAGTTTGTTCTTAGATAGCAATGAAATCGAATTGATTCATTCGCACGCCTTTAGAAATCTCACTCGACTGGAACATTTATCTTTAACAATGAATAAAATTAAAAATTTACATAGTGACACGTTGAAAGGACTCTCTAACTTAAATACATTTTTTATTAATTATAATTATCGATTATCGGTAATTCCCGCCGGGTTATTCAAAGGACTGCGCAACTTGACGGAATTTCAAGCAACGGGTTGTTCCATTTCCGAACTCGAAGACGACGTATTTTCTGACTTAATTAATTTAGAGTCCATTTCTTTAGATTCGAACGAAATTGAATATCTCCCGCCAAATCTTCTAAAAAATAATAAACTTCTGAAATCGTTTTCTTGTAGGGATAATAAAATATCGACACTTCCATCGACAATTTTTCATGGACTTTCTCATTTGCTCCAAGTAAACCTAATGGGAAATCGGTTAAAGAATCTTCCTAAAGATGTTTTTGCCAATTTGTCGTCATTGATTACTCTCGTTTTATCAAATAATCGACTGAAACTTCTACCCGAAGACATCTTTCTCCCACTGAGTCATTTACTCGAACTCGATCTCTCCAACAACAATTTAATTAAACTTTCTGGAAAACATCCTTTTGGCAGCAGCAAGTATTTGGTTACTCTCCATTTAGATAAGGCGGGTTTGATAGAATGGCCCGTGGTAAATTGGACAGCATACAATTTCAGGCGTATCGATTTTTCATATAATCGTTTTGAAACCGTCAAATTGCCAATTTACACTCCAAACCGCGTCCTAATTGAACTNAAAGAAAATAAATAATATTTTATTTACAATATCAATTTCTTTAAACGAACAATTCCCGTGAAATAGTGTTTTCGTTCGTAAAAAATTTATTTAACGTTAATTTGATATTGTTCCTTTCATTGCAACGGGAGTAAACGAGGAAATTAAAAACTAAACACGTAATATTTCTGTCGGAAATGAATCTTTCGATGTCACTGAGATCGTTATTTATCGTGTTTTCAATCTGTCGCGAGAAAGTAATAACAGTATCAAATCCGTAAGTACGCGGTTTCGCTATTGCGTATTTTTCGTCCACTGTTTTTCGACGATCTCAGTGGATCAGAAGTTTTTTCGAACGAAATGAGGTTGGTTGTGTTTTTGCAATTCCTATTTCTAGTGGTAAATCCTTGCCAAGAATTTTGGCAACATTGGGGAAATGTTTCTTGTACACGGGCAAACAGCTGCCACAAATCAAAGAAGTTTTCCTCCGTTGAAATACTTCGTCAATCCTTATTAATCAAATGCGGCGAGGAAAGGATCGACTCTGGTTTGATGCGATGTTTGGACGTTAAAAATGTACGAGAGATACAATTTAGAGATTGTTATATGTCTGGGATTGACTTTGGAATCTTCACTTTCGGGTATGAAATCGAACGAGTCCAGATATTGTACGAAACATACCAAGATAACAAAAACTTCGAGAGCGCCTCGTTTAATGACATGTTCTCTCTGCGATCTGTCGAAATAGAAGGCATGCAGACGTCGGAACTTTTAAATTTAACATTTCGCAATGTTCCATCGCTGACTTTATTGAAAATCGAAGAATATAGCTTCACTCTATTTCCAAACAAACCTTTCCGAGAGTTAATTAATCTTTCAGAACTATACATCACTCATGGCGAGTTAAAAGTTTTACCAGAAGATCTATTTTATAATCTTCACAATTTGACAAAACTCGACTTAAATTTTAATAAGATTCAATCGATTCATCCACTTGTCTTTAGAAATCTCATCCGGTTGGAATATTTAAATTTACGATTTAATGGAATAAACAATTTACCCAGTGACATGTTGAAAGGTCTTTCTAATTTAGGGACATTTTATATTAATTTCAACCCAGATTTATCAGAAATTCCGTCCGGATTCTTTAACAAACTGCACAACTTGAGTGAAATTAATGCATATGATTGTTCAATTTCTTCACTCGAAGAAGACGTATTTTCTGACTTAATTAATTTGAAAACCGTCTATTTAGGTTCCAACCAAATTGAACATCTCCCGCCAAATCTTCTGAAAAATAACAAACTGCTGACACGATTTTCATGTTCGGAAAATAAAATATCGACACTTCCGACAGGAATTTTTCACGGACTTTCTGAACTGCGATCGTTAACGTTGCAAAAAAACCGTTTACAAAATCTTCCCGAAAATGTTTTCCAGAATTTGTCGTCATTGCAAAGTCTCGATTTATCAATAAATCGCCTAACTTTTTTGCACGAAAATATATTCCTCCCATTGACTAATTTAACGCGTCTCGATCTGTCTTACAACAATTTAACTAAAATTATGGGTGAGCGTCCTTTTGGCAGCAGCAAGCATCTAACTGACGTCTTTTTAAATAATGCGGGTTTGACACAATGGCCGATAATAAATTGGGCACAATACAACTTAACTAGAGTCGATTTCTCAAATAATCGTTTCGAAACCGTCAAATTACCAATTTACACACCAAATCGCGTGAAAATTTACCTATCAGATTGTAAAATCAGAACAATTTACATCGATGACAGGAAATATGGATATCAAATGCCGTCTTATGATTTAAGTAATAACGAAATTACTTGCGATCACAAACTGCAGCAATTCGTTTTTGCCCTTAAATCAAATATGGAAGTGGCAAAACGAATATTTCCAGATATAGAGAAGACGAAATGTTACGGAGAAGAAAGAAATTTGCTGGATAATACATCGCTCGTAGTGATAGGAAATTATTGTCCGATGAATTGCGAATGTTCATTCGAACAAAATCACGTGATAGTCAATTGTTCCGGAAAGGGAATTGATAGAATTCCCAATGTTCTCGTCCCGAATGCGACGTTTGTCGATTTGAGTAATAATTACATAAACGTCTTGTCAGATGGCGATTGTGTGATGTGGAGAAACGTCATCCATCTACGTCTGAGTAATAATTCGATAAGTAATATTTGGGATTGCGTCCTTTTGCCAAACATCAAATGGCTCTGGTTGGACGGAAACCGGTTAACCGAATTATCTTACGGATTAATGAACTTGATCGACGCTTCTACAGAATTTAAGATTTACTTGTCCAGAAACAATTGGAATTGCCATTGCCATTCGCTTTTTACGAAGGACTGGTTAATTAGAAACCGGCAGAAAATTGCAGATTTCTCCGATGTTAACTGCAGAAGAAATTCTTCTTCTGTGTCTTTCATCGAAATTGTTTCCAATGACGAATGCACAGAAGTTCCAAAAATAAATTTGACATCTTCAGTAAATCACTCTTCTTCGAACGAAGATTGTTTCCGTGAAGTTAGTTCAGTTTTTGAATGGAAAATCGCAGTGGCCGTTCTTGCTTTTCTACTGTTATTCAGTTGGATTATTCTTGCTTACTTTGTTTATTGTCGCAAAAAACGAAACGTCGACGAAGTGGCAAAGCCCAAGGAAGAAGAAGTGATTTATTATAATGTTCACACCTGACAAATTCTGTAATTCGGATAATTAAAATGCCCCGAGTTCCATCGCTTTGATGAATAATTGCTCATAAATTGCTATTATTTTTTGTTTGCTTCTATCGAAATTATTTTGTATACNACGTACATAAACAGTATCGTAATTTGCCAAGTGCAAATCGGCAAATTCGTAAAATTTTTGTTTATTTTGAACAATCCGGATAATCGAAAATCCGGATAATGGAGGTCCGGATAATGGAGGTTCTACTGTAATTGCTCATAAATTGCTATTATTTTTTGTTTGCTTCTATCGAAATTATTTTGTATACTTTTTGTCCAATTTTATTACGAATTATATTGTAAAATGTATAATTACTGTATAATAAAGCAGTTAATTAAGCATCAGAAATTAAGCATTGACAATTAAACGATATTTCTACAAAGGATCGCTGACGGCTTTATAGTTTTCTGTGGCATTATATTGACTTCAGGAATTTCATTTCCATTGTTTGAATTCTAAATTTTTCTTATTTGTTTAATGTCCGTGTCTCCGAAGCAAATGATAATACGGCACAAAATAGACCTCGTATAAAAGTCTATTACATTTTAACGCGACTTGGTTACTTCATAAAAGGCCTGATGCACTTCGATAAAATATCTGGATTTGTCTTATTATTCTTGTTATTTCTTGTTCCTTTGCCCCGTTTCTTCCGTGTACTTTTAAAATATTCCACCCGTTTTAAAATGGTTTCATTTTCTTTGGTTGTTCTTTGTATATCCGCTTCCCTTCACGTGTCCACGATTTCACTTTTCTCATTTTTAATTTTAAGTCCGTGTTTTCTAGAAATACAGTTAGTTCGTTTACCTAACTTTGCAACTTCACGCGAGAGCATTTAAGAACGTCTTCCTCAAATGTAGCTGTTTCCTGGCTACTTCCAATTTCTTCGAGCGAAGCATCGATCGTTATAATAAACAAGAACAAGACCTAGAGGCAGGCGGAAAGAATTGGACAAATCTGGGTAAAGATTAGAAGTGGCACAATAGGGAAAAATGGACGGAGTTGACTGGGCTGAACGGATATTTTGTTGGAACAGCCGATGGATGGTCAATGTTGACGAATCCGTCAATCGAATAAAATAAAAAATGCAGCAACGAGTTGCTTAACTTTTCCGGCAACATTCGGTGGTGCCATCCGTTATAATATGTTATTTTAAAAAGTTTTATATTTTTAACTATTATAAAATGGCAAAAAGCTTAATTTTGAGGTTAGGGATGAGTTTTATAAAAAAAATTGTAAATGCAAATAAGGAGTAAAATCGTCAAGTATGACCCTACTTAAGATGCGTATGATCCCTTTATTTTTCTACCCCGTCGTCCTTTTACTACCAACATTTAATAGCATCATTTTCCCTAATAAATGAACAAAATTTTACAAAATATCAGAAACATTCGACAAAAAACACAAGAGCTATAAAGCTGCAAATACAGTGAATAAAATTATGGCACACACAGACCCACACACACTCCACACAGTAACGTGTCCACACAATCATACATACAGAATTTACCCCCTCCCCGAATTTGTTGCATTTCTCGACGTTTCGAGGTCCCCCAAGCTGAAAAAAATATAAAAATCCGGCGCGGAGCCATTTTTCTCGATCGCCAAACTTTTCCTCTGTTATAACAACCGGGATAGTAAGAAATAAAGAGTAAGACAAAAATAAAAGTAAAAACCCCGCAGAAATATTCCAAATTAGGCGTCGGATTGGCTAGGATTTCGGACGACAACCGGAGCTAACAAGGTAGTTACTTAGTGAGGAGTAACTAAACTGGGACCCGGCTCTTGGCTCTCGACGAGGTCGAATTCCTTCTCAGACATTGGCGAAATAATAAAATAAAAGCGAAAATTTTAGGGGTACGTCCGGAGAAATCAGAATCCACGAACCGCTCGGTTACAGTAAGAGGGTAAGGAACAAAGTACTTTGTATTTATTTTTGTGTTTCTGCTTCGTGAGCAAAAACAGGACTTTCTTTCCACACCCGTCGTATAGGAAATGTTTGTGATTTGTTCTAATTAATGTATTTGAATGTGGTGTTTACGCAATTCATAATAAATCTCCTTTATTATGAATTTTAGATTTTATTGGGCTGCAAATTTGTAGATCGATAAATTCCCACAGTCGTCGTTCGTCTGTTATCTGTCTGGAGAAAGGAGTTAAACGGATGAAAGCCGATAGCAGATATGAAAAGTTTAGTGGCAGTAGGTCCGATATAGGAAGGTTCGACGGAAACCGAAAGTCACGTTACTTCAATTGTAATACTTTCTGCCACGAAAGGGGTTATATAAATCAGGGGTGGCCAACGAGTCGATCGCGATGTCTCGACTTAATACGTTACACTCGTAACCGAACGTAACGCGCAAACGCAACTGCGGCGATATCGGACCTCCGCGTCCTCCCTCAAATGCAGTTTTGTCGGTCCTTTTGTAATCCATTTGCATACAGTTGTAAAGGGAGAATAAGAAATGTAGACAATGGGTCGTAAAACCGAAAAAAAGAAGGCCGGGAAGAGGGACAGAGAGAGTAGATCGAGACACGGTAGACAGAGGAAGGGTGAAGTGGTGGTCCCCGAAAGTGACAACGTTGATTTTCAATTTTTCTTCTGTTTAAAATATAAGTACCTTTTCTTCCTGTTTTAAATTAAATTGTGGCTTTTCTTACCTATGTAAACATAGTATGCATTTCACACCTCTCCTTCGCCACTTAGACTACGCCCACGACAACCAGTCGATCGCGACACATTTTCAAGTTGAAAAGTAAATCTTACGTACACAATAGTTGGCCACTCCTGATATAGATGATCGGCACAACTCTATTGTTAAATGAAAAGTGTGAAATACGTGGCCGAGCCATTACTAATTTCGGGTGGAGAGATATATTTTAAATTAAAAATTACTAGAAATATGGTTAAAATTGAAGCCCGACATTGTGACCGCCTCACAATAGATAACTCTTTTTAACGTACTATTGAATTAATAAGTGATTTTCGTGGTTGTAGTCTAATTTCAGACCAAATTTCTTACATTTTTCTTTTAAATCTGTTATATTTTTTGGGTTAGATTCTCACCGTCATTGTAGTGTTTCCGGGTCAGTCCGACAGCGTTATATTTTAAGATGTAATTCATTTTTTGACATCTTTGAACGTGTGACTTTAAACTGCATCTTATTGAAAGATTGCGTCGTCACCTCGCGAACGATCTTCCATCGATGCCACGAGGAAATATTGGAAAATATAACGATGGCAAGAATTTAACCCGAATAATAAAACAAATTTAAAAGAGAAATGTACCAAAATTTGCTTTGAAATTAGACTAGAACAACGAAAATCATTTATTGATACTACGTTAATCAGAATTATTTAGACACGTCACAATGCCGGGCTACGAGCTTTAATTTAAAATATACGCTCTCCGTTTCAAATTAATAGTGACTCGGTCTCGTTCATTACTTTTCATTTAACAATAGATTCGCGCCGATTATTTATATAACTTAACCCTTTTCGAAGCAGAAAATATTTGAATCGAAGTAACTCGACTTCCGGTTTGCATCGGGCCTTTTTATATAGTTAATCGTGGCCCGAAGTTTTTATATCTGCACTCGACTTTCGTCCGCTTTGTAACTCCTCGCTCGAGATTAAGGAAGGTCGGACGGACGGACGAGTCTACAAATTTTTCAAATTGCAGCTGAATAAAATCTGTAATTCGTAATAAAGGAGATTTAACAAAATATTAAAATAAAACAGTTTAAACTTTTTAAACGCGATTTCAAATACTCTCAAGTTTTCGAAAATCATTCATTTACGTAAGAAATTCCGATCCTTTAACAGTGTTTATTTATTACTTTCCGGTTGTTTTATCGATAACGGAGGGAAATAATGACGATTCGGGAAAAATAACTTGGCCCCAAATTTTTACATTTTCGGGCTCAGAAAACTTCGAAACGTCGAGAAATGCAACAAAAGTCGGGGAGAAGTAATACCTGTATGTATGGATGTCAGTGTGTGTGTATGGGGCACGGTATTATTCACCGCCTTCGAAGCTTAATAACCCCCGTACGTTTTGTCGAAGGTTTCTGAAATTTTGAAAAGTTTTGTCCATTTATTAGAATGCTATAATTAAAAGTCGAAGGGTGGCAAGATAAAGGGGTGATATGTATCTCCAGTTTTTACTCTTTATTAGCATTTACAATTTTTTATAAAACTCGTTCCTACCCTCAAAATTATGCTTTTTGCTATTTTATTATAGTCCAAAATATAAAAATTTTTAAAATAACATTCCATAACGGATGGCGTCATCAAACGTTATTTTCGTTTAAAAACTTTCCGTACAGAAAGTATCGTTTAATTATTGAACTCCGACATTTATTTATGCTTAATTTACTGCTTTATTGTGCAATAATTATACATTTTATATAATTTGTGATAAAAATGACAAAAAAGTATACAAACTTAATTTCAATAGAAGCAAATGAAAAATAATAACAATTTATGAGCAATTATTCATTCAAGCCATCGAACACGGGACGTTTTAATTATCCGAATTACACAATTTTTCAGGCGTAAATATTGTAATAAATCATTTGTTCTTCCTTAGGCTTTGGCACTTTGTGGACATTTCCTTTTTTGCCACAATAAACAGAGTAAGGAAACACAATCCTACCGAATAACAATAGAGAAGTTGAGGCAGACGTTTTAAACGTGTAAACGTGTAGGACGGACGTTCGGCGCCGCTTTCCCGTAAGCGTAAAAGTTTGACAATGGTGTTTGGATAATCGGTGGAATCACGCTCGACATTCCAAACACCATCGTCAAACTTCTAGGCTTACGGGAAAGCGGCGCCGAACGTCCGTCCTACACGTTTACACGTTTAAAACGTCTGCCTCAACCTCTTTAATAGCGAAGTAAGAACGGCCACTGCGATTTTCTATCCAAAAACAGAACTAACTTCATCCAATCAATATTCGTTCGAAGAAGAATCATTTACTGAAGATGTCAAATTTATTTCTGCAATTTCTGTGCATTCTTCATTTGAATTATATCGGTGAAAGACACAGAAGACGAATTTCTTATGCAGTAAATATTGGAGAAATCTGCAATTTTCTGTCGGTTTCTAAGCAACCAGTCCTTAGTAAAAAGCGAATGGCAATGGCAATTCCAATTATTTCTGGACAAGTAAATCTGGAATTCCGTAGAAACGTCGATCAAGTTCATTAATCCGTAAGACAATTCGGTTAACCGGTTTTCGTCCAACCACAGAGATTTGAGGTTTGGCAAAAGAACACAATCCCAAATAATACTTATTAAATTATTACTCAGACGCAGATGTGTGACGTTTCTCCACGTCACACTATCGACATCCGACAACTCTTTTATGTAATTATTACTCAAATCGACAATCTCCGCATTCGGGACGAGAACGTTGGGGATTCTTTCGATTCCCTTTCCGGAACAATTGACCATCACGTGATTTTCTTCGGTAAAACATTCGCAATTCATCGGACAATAATTTCTTATGACTACGAGAGATGTATTATCCAGCAAATTTTTTTTTTCCCGTAACATTTCGTCTTCTCTATATCTGGAAACATTTTCTTTGCCACTTCTATATTTGACTTAAGGGCAAAAACGAATTGCTGCAGTTTGTAGTTACATGTAATTTCATTATTACTTAAATAATAAATCGGCATTCGAAATCCATATTGTTTGTCATCGATGTAAATTGTTCTGATTTTACAGTTAGACAGATCAATTTTCACGCGATTTGTTGTGTAAATTGGCAATTTGACGGTTTCAAAATGATTATTTGAGAAATCGACTTCAGTCAAGTCGTATTGTGTCCAATCTAACACCGGCCATTGTGTCAAACCTGCCTTATTTAAACGGACATGAGTTAAATTTTTGCTGCTGCCGAAAGGACGCGCACCGATAATTTTAGTTAAATTGTTATCAGATAGATCGAGATATGTTAAATTAGTCAAAGGGAAGAAGATATTTTCGGGTAAAACTGTTAGGCGATTTCTTGATAAACTGAGTTCTTGCAATGACGATAAATTCAGAAAAAACATCTTCGGGAAGATTTTCTAACAGATTTCCCCGCAACGATAACCATCGAAGTTCAGAAAGTCCGTGAAATATTTCTGTAGGAAGTGTCGATATTTTATTGCTCGAACAAGAAAACTGTGTCAGTCGTTTGTTATTTCTCAGAAGATTTGGAGGGAGATGTTCAATTTGGTTGGAATCTAAATCGACGATTTTCAAATTAATTAAGTCAGAAAATACGTCTTCTGCGAGTGAAGAAATCGAACAACTCGATGCAAAAAATATAGTCAAATTGTGCAGTTTTTTAAAGAATCCGGAAGGAATTACTGATAATTCACGGTTTCCCTCAATAGAAAAAAACGTTAAATTAAAAAGACCTTTTAACATGTCACTGGGTAAATCCTTTATCCGATTGAAACCTAAATATAAAAATTCCAATCGAGTGAGGTTTCTAAAGACGAGTGGATGAATCGATTCAAGTTTATTGCCACGTAGGCCTAAATCAAGTTTTGTCAAACTGTGAAGATTATAAAATAGATCTTCGGGTAAAAGTCTTAACTTTCCTTGCGTGATGTATAATTCGGAAAGATTAATTAACTCTCGGAAAGGTTCTTTCGGAAATAAAGTGAAGTTATAGCCGTCAATTCTCAATAAAGTCAGCGATGGAACATTGCGAAATGTTAAGTTTAGAATTTCCGACGTTCTGATGTATCGTATTACGACAGATCGCAGAGAGGACATGTTATTAAACGAGGCGCTCTCGAACATTCTTTCCTGCTTGCGTCTTTCGCAAAATATCTGGACTCGTTCGATTTCATATCCGAAAGTGAAGATTCCAAAGTCAATCCCAGACAGATAACAATCTCTAAAAAATAACTCTCGTACATTTCTAACATCCAAACATCGCATCAAACGAGAGTCGATCCTTTCCTGGCCGCACTTTATGGATAAGGATCGATCGTATATTTCAAAGGAGGAAAAGTTCTTTGATTTGTAGCATTTCTCCATCCATGAGGGACAAGGAAAGGTCCCCCAATGTTGCCAAAACTGTCGACAAGAATTTACCGCTAAAAATAGCAATTGAAAAACGATAACAAACCTCATCTCGTCCGAAGTCACTTCTAACTCAGTCGAGACGAACAGCCGCAAAAATAGCCGACGAAAGATACGCAATAGCGAAAACGCGTAATTACGAATTTGATACTGTTACTACTTGCTCGCGACTGATTAAAAACACGATATATTATGACGTCAGTATTATGACGAAATATAAAATATTTCTTGCAGATTATTTTTATTTTTTTCTCAAACTTAAGGGAAAATAAAAGTACCGTCTTTTGTTACGTAAAAAAGACAGAAAAAAAATAATTAAAAGCATAGCATTGATTTCCTGTGCGAATGAAACTCCGACCATTTATAATATTTAAGGCATTTAATCGAGACGCGAATCTTAATACTAGCGTATAGGACACAGCTTCAGAATTAGTTTTTCGTCTGACGAGAGAGTTACAGCCCCCAATTGGAGAGGGTTTACGAAAGAAAAGAGACGGAGATCCGAGGTTCGGAGCGGACATTCCTCCCGAAAACAGCTGATCAAAGCTCCGTCGGTCAAACTTCTCGTCTCGTCACTCCGGTCAACTCCCCTAACTACTACCCCGAAGCCGACTCGACTATACGAGAAGACGTTGGTCCGTTCAACGAGAGGTATTATAGGTCGATGTAAACTCTCTCTCGGTCAATTAGCGTATAAGTATTTAGATTTTGATATAGTTTATTTCTTAAATGTAGCATTGGACGAAGATGATGATCGTGCTCGTATATAGACTTACTGCTGTAATTTTAGTGTAACCGTTGTTGTATTTAGCTCATTAATTAAACCGTTATCGCTTGTTAATTATCGATCGTAATTATAAGTATTTCCTTAATATAATTACCTAATTGATTCCTTATTTGGCTTTTTGTGATTAATTCCTTACATCTCTACAAAGTAGATATTATTATTATTATCGCGGGTCCCTAACCGCACGAGAGAGAGTTGGCAATAGTCGGCGAGTTGATATATAGAGGAGAGGAGGGTATTATGGAATACCATTTACATTTCTAAAAATAAATTTACTGGTTTTTGAATAAAAATTCCAAAATCATCGCGAGTACATACTATAACTGATTGTAATAAATTGTCACTTGTAAAAAACAATACTATGTGCGTAAAAAGTAGAGACATGCTCTACTCTATTTTCAGTTTTGTTTCAGCCAAAATTTCAGAAAAATTTTTACGTTTTCTGTTTTATGCTAGATTTTACGCCGAATTTTACGCATGTGTGTTCCTGGCCTTAGAGTTGTGGGGAAACCGGTTAGAAAATCTTCCGGAAGATGTTTTTCTGAATTTGTCGTCATTGCAGATTCTTCAGTTATCAATAAATCGCCTGACATTTTTACCCGAAAACATCTTCCTTCCATTGACTAATTTAACGCGTCTCGATTTATCTTATAACAATTTAACTAAAATTATGGGTGAACGTCCTTTTGGCAGCAGCAAGCATCTAAATTATCTCCGTTTAAAGAATGTCGGTTTGACAGAATGGCCGGTGATAAATTGGTCAGAATATAACTTGACTGAAGTCGATTTCTCAAATAATCGTTTCCAAACAGTCAAATTGCCAATTTACACACCAAATCCTATGCAAATGGATTTGTCTAATTGTAAAATCAGAACAATTTACATCGATGACAGGCAATATGGATTTCAAATGCCTAGTTATGATTTAAGTAATAATGAAATTACTTGCGATCACGAACTGCAGCAATTCGTTTCCGTCTTTAAGTCAAATATGGAAGTGGCAAAGAGAATGTTTCCAAATATAGAGAAGACGAAATGTTTCGGAGAAGAAAGAAATTTGCTGGATAATACATCTCTCGTAGTCATAGGAAATTATTGTCCGATGAATTGCGATTGTTCTGCACAAGATAATCACGTGATGGTCAATTGTTCCGGAAAGGGAATCGACCGAATTCCCAAAGTTCTCGTCCCGAATGCCACGATTGTCGATTTGAGTAATAATCATATAAAAGATTTGTCAGATGGCGATTGTGTGACGTGGAAAAACGTCTCTCATCTGCGTCTGAGTAATAATTCAATAAGTAACATTTCGGATTATGTTATTTTGCCAAACCTCAAATACCTGACGTTAGACGGAAACCAGCTAACCCAATTACCTTCCGTACTAATAAACCTGATCGACGTTTCTACGGAATTTACACTATACTTATCTAGCAACACTTGGAATTGCGATTGTCATTCGCAATTTACTGGGGAAATATGACGTATGTAGTGTTTAATTTCCTCGTTTATTTCCGCTGCATCAGAAGGAGCAATATCGGATTAACGTTAAATAAATTTTTACGAACGAAAAATTTGTATTGGACATTTATTTCATAAGAATTATTCGTTTAAACAAATTGATATTGTAAATATAATGTTACCTGTTTTCTTTCTCTAAGATGTTTCTGAATGGTGTTAATCAATTGTGTTTTGCGACACAAAAGACTGTTTCTGTCCGACTCCAGTTAAATTATTATAATTAAAATTTTATCATTGAATGTGAAATAAATATAAAATGTATTCGCTTCATATTCGTTCGATTGGAAATTTTTTCAATTCGAGAAAATGCAATCATATTATGACGAAATATAAAATATTTATTGCGATTATTNGAATCGCCGAACATCGAAGTCAGACATCGTCTTCTCCATCGCCGCCCTACACTCCCATCGTAGACCTACACTTTCGTCGCCGACCTATACTTGTGTCACCGATCAGAATCCATAAAGGACGACATTACGGGGAAATATCCCACTAGTATATGCAAAGAGGTATGAGCGCTTGTTATTGTAAACTCTCTCTCTCATCCGCGAAGTCTATGAAGTTTTGTAAAATTTTTATTTAGTTAGCTAGTAAAATAAACTCCGACTCTCCTCCACTCGCGTAACGCGTAACTGAACGAAACGCCATCCTTGACAAGAAAGTAGGTCACCGACCTGTGGCCGGAAGAAGAGGAACCTCCCCGGTGGCTCACAAATTGGTGTAGCAGGAGTGGGGTTTCGAACTAAAAATCCCTAGAAATATCACATAATCATCCCAAAATCGAACTAAAAATTCCAAAATCATCACGAGTACACACTATAACTGATTGTAATAAATTGTCACTTGTAAAAAACAATACTATTTATTTGGTTGTTTTAAAAAATGTATTAAAAAAACACAAATAAAGGGTAATATAAAATAGGTGGTTTAAACCATTGAAAAACTAATTATTCTTAACTATAAAAACCATATTTTCTAAGATTATGCGCGTGTGATTCCTGCTGCGAGTCTATTTACAAAAGTCACAGATATTATTTTCTTTCTCCGCTCCGGTACAATCAAGGTGAACCCACAGAGAACGGCTGAAGCTTTGAATCCAAATTTTCCCTCGTTCATCTTCGGAGAATTTTCCGTTACAGAAGATACATTCGGCGTCTTCGTTTTCTGGTTCTTTAGTCGATGGCACGAAGTCCATTGCGAATAAGTAGTAGAGAGGTTATCCCACACTCTCTATCCACGGCTGAACCCTCACATAAAAATTTCGATTTTAAACAGTAAAAATATTATCGTTCCTTAACTGGCGTTTAGATTACGTCGCAATGAAAACGAACGGTTTCTCGCCTCGATCCTTCCGCTAGTCTCTTTCTTTTCTCGTGTCGTAACGTATGGCCATCGACGTAATTTGACAAATTGCCATTTCGTACGATGACGTAATTTCGAATGTAAATACGGCAAAAGATAAATATGGTAGAAGTCCTACGAAGTTTTATTTACAATAATAATTAACTTAAACGAAGCAAACTCCTAGCAATACTTACGAAATATCCAACCGGGATTCTCATTTGACGTTAACTTCATATTTTTGCGAGAACTGCGCGAGGGAATAAAAGGAAATTAACAATTGTTTGCGTAATATTTCTGTTAGAAATCGAAATCGCCAACGTCAGTTTTTATCGTGTTGTCAAACACTGGCAACGAAGTATCTATAATAGCTGCTTCGTAAATTACGATTTCTGAGTTCTGTATTTTTGTTGGCTAATTTCCGACAGATTTACTTCTGATTCGTGTGAGAAAGGGATTAGAACCGTTCTTAAACGAAATGAGGTTGGTTTTCTTTTTTCAATTCTTATTTCTAGCGATTATTTCTTGTCAAGACTTTTGTAAACATTGGGAAAATGTTTCTTGTCCGTCGTGGGCAAACAGTTGTCACGAATCGAAGCACCTTCCCTCTGTTCAAATATTTAATCAATCCTTATTCATCGAGTGCGGCGAGGAACGGATCGACTCCCGTTTGATGCGATGTTTGGATGTTAAAAATGTACAAAGGATACAATTTATGGATTGTTATACGTCTGGGATTGATTTTGGAATGTTCACTTTCCGGTACGAAATCGAACACGTCAAAATACGGTTCCCATTCGTGAAGAAAAGAAATTTCGAGAGCGCCTCGTTTAATAACATGTCCTCTCTGCGATCTGTCGAAATACGAGACGTAAAGACGTCGGAAATTCTAAATTTAACATTTCGCAATGTTCCGTCGCTGACTTCATTGACAATCGAATACTATAACTTCTCCTTATTTCCCAACAAACCTTTCCGAGAGTTAATTAATCTTTCCGAATTATACATCAGGCATGGCAAGTTAAGAGTTTTACCCGAAGATCTATTTTATAACCTTTACAATTTAACAAAACTGGACTTAAGTAGCAACAAAATTCAATCGATTCATCCACTCGTCTTTAGAAATCTCACTCGATTGGAAGATTTGGATTTGTCATTAAATCGGATACAGAATTTACCAGGTGAGACGTTAAAAGGTCTTTTTAATTTAAGGACATTTCATATTTATATAAATCATGGATTATCACAAATTCCGTCCGGATTTTTTAAAGAACTGCACAACTTGACTGAAATTAATGCGCATTATTGTTCTATTTATTCGCTGGAAGAAGATGTATTTTCTGACTTGATTAATTTGAAATACGTCGATTTAGATCTTAACAATATTGAACAGCTCCCGCCAAATCTTCTGAGAAATAATAAACTCTTGACACAGTTTTCCTGTTCGTTTAATAAAATATCTACACTTCCGGCAAAAATTTTTCACGGACTTTCCGAACTTCGATCGTTGAACTTACGAACAAACAGGTTAGAAAATCTTCCCGAAGATGTTTTTCTGAATTTGTCGTCATTGCGGACTCTCAAATTATCATCAAATCGCCTGACATTTCTACACGAAAACATCTTTCTCCCATTGACTAATTTAACGCATCTTGATCTATCTAACAACAATTTAACGAACACTATTGGTAAGCGACCTTTTGGCAGCTGCAAGCATCTGCGTACTCTCCGTTTAAAGAATGTCGGTTTGACACAATGGCCGGTGATAAATTGGACAGAATACAACTTGACTTACGTCGATTTCTCAAATAATCGTTTCGAAACCGTCAAATTGCCAATTTACACACCAAATCGCGTGAAAATTGATCTGTCTAATTGTAAAATCAGAACAATTTACATGGATGAGTGGAAATATGGATTTCAAATGCCGTCTTATTATTTAAGTAATAACGAAATTACTTGCGACCACCAACTGCAACAGTTCGTTTTTGCCCTTAAGTCAAATACAGAAGTGGCAAAACGAATATTTCCAAATATAAAGGACACGAAATGTTTCGGAGAAGCAAGAAATTTGCTGGATAATACATCTTTTGTAATTATAGGAAATTATTGTCCAATAGATTGTCAATGTTTCGTAGAACTTAATCACGTGGTGGTGAATTGTTCCGGAAAGGAAATCGACGGAATTCCCGAAGTTCTCCTCCCCAATGCGACGATTGTCGATTTGAGTAATAATTACGTAAAGGATTTGTCAGATGTGTATTGTTTGACATGGAAAAACGTTACGCGATCGAACGATCGATGTATAGAAATTGTAGGAAATAATTTGACGTCGTCATTAAATTTTACTTGTATAAAATGGGTTTGTTCGGACGAAGTTAATAGTGTTTTTGAATGGAAAATCGCAGTGGCTGTTCTTACTTCGCTAGTGTTGTTAGGTGTGGTTATTGCTATTGCCATTGTTTATTGTCGCGGAAAAGAAAATGTTCAGAAAGTATGAAAGACGAAACGGATTATTACAATGTTTAAATCTGACAAATTCTGTAATGTGACAATTCAAAGGCTTCGAGTTTCGTCGCTTTAGTTAATAAGTTCTAATAAATTATTATTATTCGGTAATTGTTTCTATGAAATCAATTTTGTATACTTCAAATATACTGTACGAAATTGCGATTACGAACCACGTCATAAAGTCTGTAATAATTAGTTAATAAAGCCGTAAAATAGACACAAAACTATCAATGAAATTCAGTAATTAGTCAATACTTTGTATACAGATAAAAGAATGAAGTGGAAGTAATATTCTCTAATTCAGCGAAACTGACGTTCTTATAGCAATAAATAACTTTCGATGATGAATCTGACCCGAGCCAGATCTAAGTCCTTTACGGTGACCTTCATTTATTCTATTCTTTTCTCTTCTTCCTTCTCCGGATGTTGCCATTCGTCGAACTCTGTCGTCACTCGTTCCGTTCTTCGCCTTCTTCCGGGCGACGTCCCGCTGTTTCTTGTCGCCGACATCTTACACTACGAGGTGCACAATGCGGTATAAATTTACAAAAAATATGAAGTTACTCTTGTTGTAATAAATACTGAACGACTGCGAGAACGTGACTATTTTGTTATACCCGGGTTCGCCAGGATTCATAAATTACCCGTAGCAGTAACTGTTACACCCAGCGTTTTTAATGACAAGATTCACAAACGTTATTGTTGTGAATCTTGTATGTATTTACCAATTTCATCCGATTTTTATTTGGTACTTACTGAGCGTGTACCACGCTTTACAGAAAACCCTGGCTGCCGACAGTGCACCCTTCGCAGAATCTGCAATATACCTTTGTGAGACTAACACACCTGTCAGTAATTTCCTGTGTTTTATTAGCAATCTAATATAAACCGGCGAGTACAGCGTTTCTAGCCGTTTGACCTCAGTTACCAGTTAGTTATATATAACAATTCCTACGCTCAAAACAAAGAGGTAATGCGTGATGATGAACGACTTTATGAGATCGGTCAGAAAGCGGAAGATAATAAAGACGAAGATAGTCTATTATTAAAAGATTTTCTGGAGATTTCAGTGATTTAGATCACGATTAGTGCACGAGTGATGAACAACCCGAAGAGATTTAGAGAATTGAGACAGAAAAAGAATCCGTAAAGTCAGTAAATAAGAGAATGAAATCCAGCCATGAGTTGCTGCAATAATATCTAAAACCGCGTTTTTGGTGTCGATAGCGCATCCGAAAATGTCCTTGAAGAGGTTTGTTGACCTACTGTCACAGTTCTTAGCAGCGGAGGTGTCGTACGTTGGTTAACGGTTGCTATGCCAACCGTTCGTTCGTTGACCTTGTCGTAACGTCGGTCGTAACTCGATGCGGCTGTCTTCCGCGGAATTGTCCTCACTGGATGCCGGACTCGCAGCGTTGACGGTCCTAGTGTGTAAAGTTCGTTCATCCACCGTGTCGATTCACTCCGACACGAGTCTCGAGTCACAATAATAGAGGTCTGTGTTACAGAAATTGTTATAACTAAATACTGTACTCTCTGAAAAAAATGATAATAGCGTGAAGCTAAGACTATGCTAGTGCATTGCTTCTTTTCTAATTTCGTTGGCCAAACTTTTGATTCGCGGCAAGTCCCTAAGGAATGGTGCTTAATTTGCAGCATCGGAATCCGGGATGGCTCGGAAGTGGGACGTAACTTTGTCGTCGTTGCGGGTTCGGTTCGGTTACGGCTACTGTTCGCGCTGGGTTGTCTACTATAGACTGGCTAGGTCTTTCGACGAGACCAAAAATGACCATTAAAAGTCGAAGTAATTGCGTAAAACTCAATAGTCTTGGTAGAATTTCTCCCTCTGGATTAGTTTCTGGTTCCGATCTTTTGGTGTTACCGGGTAGATCTTCCCGACTTGACTTTTCCGGTCTCAACCTTAGTTCTTCCGCTTTCTGGTTTGATAGTATTTCCTCGGACATTCCTTCTATTGGATAAAGGGGCGTCGAGCGTATTATTCGAAACATATTCGGCTTCTGTTCGAATCGGGCTGGAAATTGTTGCCTGTCGATTCCAGGAGTTGATCGCGTGAAGCGGAGTAACGATGTTTCTTCTGATCGGTCGGTCGATTTTTTTTACCTGTTGTCTTCTTGGGTTTTTTCCATTCACAAAAGTGAATTACTTTGCCGTTAGGCAAAAGAATTCGCTGCTTATCACCGTCGAGCATGAAATTTTCTTGCTCCAGAAGGTCCTTTCCGATTATGCCTTCACGGGGTAATGCGACTTTGCGCCTTACTATTTGACACGACACGAGGAATTTGTGTCCCCTTAATTTGACGGTAGAAATTGCCAGACCGATTGTTTGGATTGATTCACCTTTCGAACTCTTTATCTTCCCTCTTGATTCGAATTTGACTGGAGCTTTGCTCTTAATTCTATTTGCTATCTCCTTAGATAGCGGCGTGTCGTTTACGTTAGGATTTACGACAAATTTGACCGGTACATTATTAACATACCCTAAAATGATGGGCTTCCGCTTCGCTCGAATCCTCGCTGTTCGAATGATCTTTCCACTCGTCCTCATCCTCCGAGGAGGAGTCCGATTGGCGAATTTGTTGGATCCGTTCATTTGAGTTGAAATTCCGACGTCTTTTCACTCGCCAGTTTCGGTCTTCTTTCCAATGTGGGGTCAATAACTTTTCTAGATTGTCTTCTGAGGGGTCGGTGAACCTTTTATGTTTGGAGGATTCCCGTGGTCGCTGTATTTGAATGTTCCGTGGTCGCTGTATTTGAATGATCCGCGTGGTTCCCGTATTTGAATAGTTCGTATGTTCCCGCGAGGATGTGTCGTTAGACCTTCAATCGTTTCTTTACTTATAGTCTTTAATGCCTGGTCAAAAGTCGTCGGTTCTCGGGACATTAGTCGTTGCCTTATTTTTAAGCCGATCCCGTTCAAAAACTGAATCTTTAATCGTTCGTCCAACTCCTTCGTTTGTATGCGTTGGATAATAGCAGTTTCAGAGGCATCTACTCCTGGCTTTATTTCTATTTCCGCCGCGAGGGCTTGTAACCTAACCACATATGTTTGAACGTCCTTATCCGAATGCCGAAGACGGACATAAAATTTGTTCAGACACATCGGGAACAAAAGACCGGGAAACGAGAAACCCTACTCTGGACGATTCCTAGAACTTTTCTTATGTATTGGAATAATTTTCCTTCCACGCCAATCTGTTAGAATGCCTTTCGAATTGTAGATACAGGTATACCTCACCTTACGTCGGTAATTCGTTCCAGGAGAGGCGTCACCAGGCTAAATCACAAATTACCATTTCCAGTTCTGTATTTTATTCATAAATTAATTTTTAATAATATATGGTTAATAAGAATCAATTTTAAGCTTGTTTCGTTCTCTAGGATTTGTGATGATTATACAGTATTAACATTTACTGTAAATGTACATATTTTAATATGATTTTATATGCTTTTTACTCTTTTCTAGTGATATTACGACAATGGAAAACTAAAAAGTTGATTTTTATTTTTTCATATACTTTTTTGACAAACGACGTATAATCGAGAACGACGTAACTCGAGGTATACCTGTATTATTAAGCGAAAAAGCTAAATAATTAAATGTTATAAAATTCTACAGAAATGCCTACCTGGAGCGTGCCGTATTTCATCGATGACGCGGCTGACCCTACTTCCAAAAAGACAAACTCAACACCCAAAACATTATCTTGCCAATTGTGAAATCCGCGACTTTTACGCAGTTGTCGGAAAAAAAAGATTGTAAACTCCGATAGAAAAAACACTTTTGGTGAGAATTATATCGGGTGTCACCGTTTGTTTTCACAATTAGCTGGGAAAGTCGACGCGAGAATGCGCCGTTAATGTCAACAGATGACGATCACGCGACTCCATTCCCACGAAAACCGTATAAAAGCTCGAGCCCCCGGAAGCTCGGGGCGATCGAAAGGAAGTTATACTTGTTAATGCGTGCATATTGTCTCCATACACCGGACGCGACAATCGAAAGGAAAAGACAGACCACAGGTTCGAACTTCCATACTTATCTCCATACTACAGTTCCCGCAACGACTACGATTCCTACCAACCATTCGACGCGTACCATTCATTTCCTCATAGAGGTATTGTTATCCGAGCTTTGTGAACGCTCTCTCCGAGAATAGGCTTAGCCGCTAGAACTGTTAAGAGCTGCCCCTTTGTATATTTAGCTCATATTTAACCGCATTAGACCTTAAAATTACTATCGCACTCCTGTAATCAAGATTAGTTCTTCAATAAATGTTTTGTTATTTTGTAAACCCGTCTCCCGTCTTTGAAAGGACGCCTGCCGAATTTCTCACCTCCCTCGCCACTCGATAAAAAGCCATCCCAAAGACAAAGTGGGCTCGACGATTAGAGGGCTTTGTCCCCTCGCCCTTATTCTCACACAATTATAACACAAATTATAAAACAAAAGATCTGGCTTATAACATTCCCTGCCAAATACTTTCACAAAATGTTCTACCAGATCCAGATCTGGAAGGTTCACACGCTTGGCCCTGAGAAAAAAATTAACGCACTTCCAAAATCGCATACTGTCTCTAGAAGTCAAATCTTTATTTAATTTCTGCAGATATAATTTATTCTTTGCCCTGTATCAATTACCAGAGACGTTCCTTTCCTTAACAAAGTTAGCTGCCGCAATCCGATCTCCAAACGTTACCCGTCTCGTCGCATTCGATGCACCATTTCTACTTAAAATACTTATTGTACAGTACATTCCAGACGAACCCAATAAAATTTATGAAAACCTCGAGATTTCTTATTCCAATCAGCAAAAATATCTCTTACTAACCAGATCAAAAAATCAACTGTCGACTCCGAATAGCCCCGAATTCTTGACATTAACTCGTTACATTTTTGATTTACCACTAGATATCAATTACCCTTCCAAAATAACCCGGAACCTACTAATCTTGGCTTCCCTGCTATCTTAGTAAATGTCTTCCAAATTACAGTTTAAACTCAACCTGATGGGAAAATGGCTACTAAATACTTCATCCAAAACTGCGATACTCGAAATCAGCGACATACACCGAATCTATTAGAGCCAAATCGATAACTGAACTACATATAGAACTCGCATAAAAATAACAGCCTTTAGAAGCAAATGGACCCTTTCCATTCGTAATCGGTTTGTCGAAATTCTCAAAAAAACTTAAAATCGGTTAACTTTGCACATTTGCTATCAGATTCCGCGATATTCCGGATAACCGACACCATCCACTAGGTGCATTATCTTGCTATTAATCTGGCGGTAACTGGCTTCCTCAATAATCACAAAATCTTCACGATGGTGGTAGTCCTCGATAGCGGATTTACTATCCCACCAAATTTCCGATAGAACGACAACCCGAAAAGAGGACATAAACTGCCAAAATATATAAGATTTATTCAAAGTTCTTTTACAGTTCGAGACATTATTCTAACATTGGAACGCGGTCGTGATCCGCCTCACATTTCCATCCTCTTCTAGGAAGTATTACGAGTGAACACTTTATCGTTCACCTTAACTGCATTGCCATAGTTTATTTTTATTTTTATTTATTTCTCAAACAGACGAACCTCGAGGAACGCCCTTATTTGGCCCGAAAGAGCTACAGATAATTTGTCCAATTTTTACGAATTCTGTTTGACAAGTATAATTTTAACCGGCTTAGAGGAGTCCCTCTTAGACCAACAGTTTATACTCGTATATTTAATCTGTTCTCCTTTCTTTTTTTCTTCTTTGGCAAAGGTTGTCGCTATTTTCTTAACTTTTTTTGTCAAAGGAGGTCGGTTATCCATTATACAAATATCAGAACATTTCGGCTTATACGGCATACTTCTAACGTTAAATCGATGGTTATAATCCAAAACTTTACAAAAACTTAATCCATTCCTTCCAATCTTACCATATGCCAGTCCATAACATTTCCTAAGGAAACATTATTAACATTCGGCGCAATATCCTTCATTTGGATCTTATATTAGTCATCTGGCTCGAAATAACCATTAAATAACCATCAGAAATAACTTAAAAGTAATTTCCGACATTGCAAATTTACTCGCTCCACGGTTAAAGCCAATCTTCCTCCCGCATCGACTTCTTCGGTAACTCCAATCTAGATTGAAATCTCATAATCGCTTAACATTTTGATTTAAATTTAATTAAATTAATAACAAAATTCCATCTTTTACGTCCAGATCTTCCTGTAACAAATCCACAATTTTTATCTCCTCTAACGTATCTGCGTAATAAATTTTTTGATTCGAGTCGAAAAACTAACATTGTATTAATTCGGAATTTCAAAGGAGAATTAGCCTAGGGACCGTCCGTAAATGACGTCCACGCTGGAAGGAGGGAGGAGTTACGAAAGTCGGTCATTAACTGGTGTGTAGATTACGTCGCACCTGCCGAACGAACCGGTTTCTCGCCTTCATCCTTCCAGGAAAATTCTTATTTTAAAATATAACTGACGTCACGCAGAAACATTCCTTCGCGTCGCATAAAACACATTCGATGTATAGAAAAAAACGAAAGATTAATATCTCCAAGACGAAGGAATTAAAACAATTTAATTTATCTTTAATAATTATCTTTAAAAATTTCCTACATAATAAAGTTTCTTCTATCTTTGCCCGTTGACGAAAATATGGCAAAAAAGTTGTCTTCATTTACGATAACAATTATTTTAAACCAGGCAAACTAACAAACTCGCGGCCACTCTTACGAAACATCCAGCCAGAATACTCGTTTAACGTTATAACTTACTTTTGCGAGAACTGCACCAGGAAAAAACGAGAAAATTACTTGCGTAATATTTCTGTAAAAATCGACATCGGCGAGGTCAGTTTTTATCGTGTAGTCCACCACTGGCAACGAAGTATGTATAATAGCCGCTTCGTAAATTACCATTCCAGAGTTCTGTACTTTCGTTGATTATTTTTCGACATATTTACCACATATTCGTGTGTCGAATGGATTAGAACCGTCCTTAGACGAAATGAGGTGGGTTTTCTTTTTTCAATCCCTATTTCTAGCGGTTAATTCTCGTCAAGACTTTTGGCAACATTGGGGAAACGTTTCTTGTCCGTCACCGGCAAACAGCTGCCTCGAATCAAAGAACTTTTCCTCTGTTCAAATATTCGATCGAGTCTTACTGCTCAATTGTGGCAACCGAACGACTGACTCTCGTTTGATGCGATGCCTTAATGTTAAAAACGTACAAGAGATAACATTTACAGATTGTTATCTGTCGGAGATTGACTTTAGAATCTTCATTTTCGGGTACGCAATCGAACGAGTCCAAATATTGTACGAAACAAACCGGCATAAGAGAAACTTCGAAAGCGCCACGTTTAATAACGTGTCGTCTCTGCGATCTGTCGAAATACGACACGTGAGAACATCGGAACTTCTAAATGTAACATTTCGCAATGTTTCATCGCTGACTTCACTGAAAATCAAATACTATAACTTCACTTTATTTTCCAACAAACCTTTCCGAGAGTTAATTAATCTCTCCGAATTATACATCACGAGTGGTGAATTAAAAGTTTTACCAGAAGATCTATTTTATAACCTTTGCAATTTAACAACACTGGACTTAAGGGACAATAAAATTGAATCGATTCACCCACTTGTCTTTAGAAATCTCATCAAACTCAAATATTTGAAATTACAATCTAATAAGATAAAGGATTTACCAGGTGACGTGTTAAAAGGTCTTTCTAACTTAAGTACATTTAGAATTCACAGAAATTATCAATTATCAGAAATTCCGTCTGGATTCTTCAAGAAACTGAAAAAGTTGACTGAAATTAATGCAGCGTCTTGTTCTATTTCTTCACTTAAAGACGATGTATTTTCTGATTTAATTAATTTGAAAGACGTCAATTTAGGTTCCAACCGAATTGTACATCTCCCGCTAAATCTTCTGAGAAATAACAAACGACTGACACGAATTTCCTTTTGGGATAATAAAATATCGACGATTCCAGCAGAAATTTTTCACGGACTTTCTGAACTACGAGTGTTAGGCCAGGAACACACATGCGTAAAATTGTGTGGCAGAAAACTGAATCAGAAATCAGCTTTCAGTTCAGTTTCTGTTTTACGCTTTTATGCCAGAACACACATACGTAAAAATTCTGGCCGAATAGAAAACACCACTGCCACCAACAGTACTAATTTTATTAATTTTTTCCTCTCATATAGGCTATCTATCCCTTTGTACCTTCCATTTTTTCTACACTTCCTCTGCTATAATATAGAAAATTTAAATTAATAGACTCGTATTCCAAATTCAAATAAAGAACGTGTGATATAAATACTAGGCCTATATATCGATTCTACTAGACTTACCTGTTATTTGAAATTTAACACCTGTAGCCATCCATAAACGTTGTTTAAATACAGTGTCTTTATACATGACACTGATTTGGTCGAACGGATTCAATAAACTCCTCTATTTCATTTATTTTTCGTTTTTTCGAGACCATCACAATTGTAGGGTTAACCCTCATTGCCACCATTGTTAGAATAAAAACCACGTGTCTACTTCGACGTCACAGGAAAGACTTCTCTTTATTGGAGAAATTTTGGCGTAAAAATTTTTCAGCGTAAAAAGTAGAGACATGCTCTACTCTATTTTCAGTTTTGTTTCAGCCAAAATTTCAGAAAAATTTTTACGTTTTCTGTTTTATGCTAGATTTTACGCCGAATTTTACGCATGTGTGTTCCTGGCCTTAGAGTTGTGGGGAAACCGGTTAGAAAATCTTCCGGAAGATGTTTTTCTGAATTTGTCGTCATTGCAGATTCTTCAGTTATCAATAAATCGCCTGACATTTTTACCCGAAAACATCTTCCTTCCATTGACTAATTTAACGCGTCTCGATTTATCTTATAACAATTTAACTAAAATTATGGGTGAACGTCCTTTTGGCAGCAGCAAGCATCTAAATTATCTCCGTTTAAAGAATGTCGGTTTGACAGAATGGCCGGTGATAAATTGGTCAGAATATAACTTGACTGAAGTCGATTTCTCAAATAATCGTTTCCAAACAGTCAAATTGCCAATTTACACACCAAATCCTATGCAAATGGATTTGTCTAATTGTAAAATCAGAACAATTTACATCGATGACAGGCAATATGGATTTCAAATGCCTAGTTATGATTTAAGTAATAATGAAATTACTTGCGATCACGAACTGCAGCAATTCGTTTCCGTCTTTAAGTCAAATATGGAAGTGGCAAAGAGAATGTTTCCAAATATAGAGAAGACGAAATGTTTCGGAGAAGAAAGAAATTTGCTGGATAATACATCTCTCGTAGTCATAGGAAATTATTGTCCGATGAATTGCGATTGTTCTGCACAAGATAATCACGTGATGGTCAATTGTTCCGGAAAGGGAATCGACCGAATTCCCAAAGTTCTCGTCCCGAATGCCACGATTGTCGATTTGAGTAATAATCATATAAAAGATTTGTCAGATGGCGATTGTGTGACGTGGAAAAACGTCTCTCATCTGCGTCTGAGTAATAATTCAATAAGTAACATTTCGGATTATGTTATTTTGCCAAACCTCAAATACCTGACGTTAGACGGAAACCAGCTAACCCAATTACCTTCCGTACTAATAAACCTGATCGACGTTTCTACGGAATTTACACTATACTTATCTAGCAACACTTGGAATTGCGATTGTCATTCGCAATTTACTGGGGAAATATGACGTATGTAGTGTTTAATTTCCTCGTTTATTTCCGCTGCATCAGAAGGAGCAATATCGGATTAACGTTAAATAAATTTTTACGAACGAAAAATTTGTATTGGACATTTATTTCATAAGAATTATTCGTTTAAACAAATTGATATTGTAAATATAATGTTACCTGTTTTCTTTCTCTAAGATGTTTCTGAATGGTGTTAATCAATTGTGTTTTGCGACACAAAAGACTGTTTCTGTCCGACTCCAGTTAAATTATTATAATTAAAATAAATATAATATCACTGAATGTGAAATAAATATAAAATGTATTCGCTTCATATTCGTTCGATTGGAAATTTTTTCAATTCGAGAAAATGCAATCATATTATGACGAAATATAAAATATTTATTGCGATTATTTTTTTAAAAATAGCAAAAAATTATTAAAAGGCGCGGAAATGATTTCTTGTGTGAACGAAACTGCGACCATTTTTAATATTTAAAGTATTTAATCGAGTTAATAAAAGTACAAGATAAATGCGAAATTATGGCCAATAATTTATGAATATTTGTTTAATAAACAAATTAATCTTCGAGTAAGAAACTTAAACAAATTGATGATGTATGCATTTAAAATTAATTAACACGAACGAAAATATAAAGGAAGGATACTGAAGTTCGATAAAGGAAATTGCGAAGATTCCCAGAACCTTTCTTACGTATTAAAATAATTTTACTTACACGTCAATCTGTTAGAATGTCTTCCGATTTGTACTGTACAGTACATGTTACTGTGAATGACCGATATCTGGCGAATGTCAACATTCTCCGGTGAATGTCAGCATTCACACAGTCGTTTCGTGTACGTACGAAATATTTGCTAAATATCATTATTTCTCACTTACACCGACAAATGTCGACATTCGGCACGCACTCACGGGTAAATGTTGAATAAAAATATTTTTATTACGTTAAGACAAAAATGCAACTTTTTAATATGTGAAAATAGGAGAAAGCTTAAGTAACAGCACATGTAAATAAACTGTTGAACCTAAAACGAACAGTACATTTTATATCATTAAAGAAAATAATACAATAATAACCTTACACATAAATTATGTGATTAACGTTATACAATCTTATTTATTGCAACAACTTAAACTGTTATGGCATTTTGAATTGCACGAGAGTCCCTTGCTTTTACAACTGCATTTATTCTGGAACACTTCTTTTTTGCAATGACAGCCTTGCCCTCCACTTTTCGAATTAGCTGCAGCTGCTTCTCTCGGCGATATTTCTTGAGAAGAGATCTCATCTATGGAAAGTAACTTTTCTTTACAAATTACGAACTGATTACGTGATTACGAACTGATTTGTTAATGGTGTCTTTTATTCGGATATCGCCGACGCCTTACCGACGACCCTTCTCATCCTCTGCCACTCGACCTAACAAACCGATCCCCACCTCACGGAATCAAAAGACCTTGTTTTACCTCCGGCTACCCACAAAGAATTTGGCGACAGAGTGTCGCCTCTCTGTCGACATTGGTTTCTCGGGTGTCGTCTCGACCTTCACCAAAGCTTATCTGTGCTCGTCGACATACACCGGCGATTGTTCGAATGTTTAATAATATAACCAAATATTCGGACTTTCACCGACGTATTTTGTATGTGTCGACATTCACCGGAAAATATCGACATTCTCTAATTTCGGTCTTTCACAGTAACATAGATATTATTGAGCAAGAAAGCTAAATAATTAATAGTCTAGGACAATTGTTATAAAATCCTACAGAAATGCCTACCTGGAGCAGTGCCGTGTTTCATCGACGACTCGGCTGACCCTACTTCCAAAAAGACAAACTCGACACCCAAAACATTATCTTGCCAATTATAACAAAAATTATATTACAAAACATCTGGCTTATAACATCCTTGCCAAATACTTTCACAAAATGTTCTACCCGATCCAGATCTGGCAGGTTGACACGCCTGGCCCTAATAAAAAAATTAACTCACTTCCAAAATCGCATACTGTCTCCAGAAGCCAAATCTTTATTCAATCTCTGCAGATATAATTTCTTCTTTGACCTATATAATTTACCAGCCACGTTCCTTTCCTTATCAAAGTTAGCTGTCGCAATCCGATCTCCAAACGTTACCCGTCTCGTCGCATTCAAATGCTCCATTTCTACTTAAAATACTCATTCTACATTACGGAGGGAACCCAAGAAAATTTATTAAAACCTCGAGATTTCTTATTGCAATTAGCAAAAATATCTCTTACTAACCGGACCCAAAAAATCAACTGTCATTCTACTAACATCCCCGAATTTTTGACGTTAACTCGTTACATTTTTGATTTACCACTAGACCACAATCGCTCTTCCAAAATAACCTGGAATCTACTGATCTCGGATTCGCTACTATCTTGGTAAATTTTTTCCAAAATACAGTTTAAACTCAGCCTGATGGGAAAATGTCTACTAAATACTTCATCCAAAATTACAATATTTGAACCAGAGACATACACCGAATCTAATTAGAGCCAAATAAATAACTAAACTACATAGAGAACTCGCATAAAAATAACAGCTTTTAGAGGCAAATGGAACTTTTCCATTCGTAATCGGTTAGCCAAAATTCTGAAAAAAATACTTAAAATGGATTAACTTAGCACATTTACTGTCAGATCCCGCGATATTCTCGATAACCGACATTGATCCAACTCGCCCAAAATTTCCAGGATCCAATGCTGTGGATGATTTCCGGTACGCGGGTTAAAGTCGCCCGTTAGAATATGAAAATTATAACTATGAACAACCGTAACAATCTCTTCCAAATATCTTCCCAAATAACGGGTCTTAAATACAAAAAATAACCAAATAACCTAACGTAACTTTGATCACCAAGTAAAGCCTATCGTCGTCTGACTCAGAAATAACCGTATTATTGCGTAATATAAAATATTCGTGACACTTAAAGTAATTTCCGAGATTGCAAATTTACTCGCTCCACGGTTAAAGTTTCCCTCCTCCTCCTGTATCAACTTCTTCTCCTGTAACTCCAATCTGGATTGAAATCTCATAGTCGCCTGGTCCACGAGAATATCCTATCCACTTTTGCAATCATTTTCTCTAACTTAACATTTTAATTTACATTTAATTAATTATTATAAAATGGCTAAAAGCTTACTGTCGAAAATAGGGATGGGTTTTATAAGAAATTGTAAATGCTAATAATAAGTAAAATTGTGACCGTGGGTTCGGTTTCTTTTCGATGCCGAGTCGGTACTGACACCACTGTGTCTCGATGGAGGGGGACAAAAATCGCCACGCTTTTCGTTCGCGCGTGTGGTTGCTCGGACTCGGGATGGTGAAAGTTTGAGAGACAGCCGGTGGAAGAAATGCACTCAACTACGAATTTAACATTAAACGATACCCGTTTATTTACGTAGCAATTTACATTTCTATACATAAGTTATATAAGGAGCTTTGTTAAAAATGCTAATTTTATAAGGATCTCTACGAAGCAGCTATTATTATTATTATTATTATTATTATTATTATCGTGGGTCCCTAACCGCAGGAGAGAGAGTTCGCAATAGTCGGCGAGTTGATAAATACCTTACTCAAGTCGAGGTTGGTTCCTTTGGGAATCGAAGAATCGGCGAATCGATAAACTGCCGGTTCGCCAGGTGATTCGTTAGAATCTTCGACGAGTCGAAAAAGTGCGAAAGTCTCTTTATGTGTTGAGACACAAAAATGATGAGCGGTATCCGAAAGTATCGGGAGAACACTAATCCGAAGGTGGTGAACTATCGATGACCATCAACGACGATCGTCGTCGCCCTTTCTTTTTATAACGGGTCCTTCCAGTTTCTTCTTTCACCCTTATTAGGAATTGTTATAAGTCAGGGACAATGGTTGAATTTCGATCGTAGGTTCCGGGTAACACATTAGGAAGATGTGTCACTTTTGGAAAGAAATAAATCCGGAGAAATATATAATCGTATCATTCCGGTTTTTTATTAAATGTTGGGGGGAAATATAGAATTTTCTCCACATTTGGGTAAGTATTATTCTTTATAAAACGAATGTGAAAACATTTTATAGCCAAATAAAGTTCATTAAATCCGGGCTCATACAAAATCGTCAGTAACTCTAATCCTACCGGAGACACACACGACCTCCATTATCTCCCCACTCCTCGACCTTTAATCACCAAAATTTAACGGCATAAATTCGCTTAATAAGACAATCGCCCTACTAAATTTCAGAAATTTTCGACGAAAAGAACAATAGTTATTAAGTTTTAAAGAGTATGAACAAAATCCCCATGCACAAATGTCCATACATACGGAATACACCTCCGAATATTTTTGTATTTCTCGACGTTTCGAGGTCGCCCGAGTCAAAATATGTGAAGGATAATGTTTTGCCATACTTTTCCTCTGTTATATATATCAGAACCAGAGAACTAATATTATAATAATTCGGAATTTCAAAAGAGAACTAGCCTAGGGGCTGTCCATAAACGACGTCCACACTGGAAGGTACGGAGAGGTTACGACAAGTCGGACAAGGAGGAAGGGAGAGGTTTAGCTAAATCTTATGTCCGTTTATTTCATTAAATTTTGTACAGGCTATTATATTTATTTCATAAATTTCTCGTTCTACTTATTGTATCTTCATTTATAAAATATAAAAATTTTAAAAAGGATCGAGTGTTGTTGGACGTCCGAAGAAGGAAGAAGATTACGGAAACGTGAGCAAACAGGGACTAGACAGTAGAAATTTCAAGCAATTTGCGAAATTTATGTAACTTACAGACAGTCTAACACTGTATTGTAAATAAATATAAAGAATAAAAGTCCTTTTATAAACATTCCGATTTTAAACAGTCGAAAAATTGTCGTTCCATAACTGGCATGTAGATTACGTAACAGCTACAGAACGAACCAGATTTTCGCCTCGATCCTTCCGCTAGTCTCTATTGTGTCTCGTGTCGTAACGTATGGCCAACGACGTAATTTCATAAGTTGCATTTCATTGGATGATGTAACTTCGAACTTTCTGATTGGGTACAAAAATTAATATACTGTATAGTGATTTATGACAGTAAGTTAAGAACACAGTTATAAGTAACAAACATAATCGCTATTTATACAAAGACCAATAAATTATTTATTCAATTATTTAAATGCGAACGATAGACGAAGTAATTTTCGATAGAAACGAAAGTAAAATACAAAATTTACATTTGCCGTAATCATTTCCACATCTGTAACGTACTCGACTTTCATTTTTAACGATTATTCATTCGGATTTCCCTTTATCGAAGTTCAATACTCTTCCTGTATTATTTAATACTTAAACACGATTATTCTCGGGAGCAAACTGCCCGGTTTGATTTCAGTTTCCGAGTCGAAGAGTAAATTTATTCTTATTTTTAAAACATTCCTAAATTAAGCGAAGAATTATTTCGCATTTATCTTGTACATTTATTAACTCGATTAAATAATTCAAATATTACAAATAATGGGAGTTCATTCACACAGGAAATTATTTCTATACCTTTTAATTATGTTTTGTTTTTACATACCGAACGACATTTTTATTTCCTCTTAATAAGTATAAGAAGATAATAATCTTCGAGTTAATCTTTTATATTTTGTCAAAATATAAATTCGACAAAACATAAAAGCCCATTAATGAAAATGTGTCAAAAAGTTGTAGAAGTCTTAGGAAGTGTCATTTGCAATAACAACAATTTTAAACGAAGCAAATTAGCAAACTCGCAGCCATTCTTACGAAATATCCGAGAGAAAAAAGAAATTACAAATTGTTTGCGTAATATTTCTGTTAGAAATCGATACCGCTGACGTCAATGTTTATTGCGTTGACAACAATACGCAACAAAGTATCTACAATAGCTGCTTTATAACTTACGATTTCCGAGTTCTGTAGTTTTGTTTCTTATTTTCCGACTTACTTACCGCAGATTCGTGTGTCGAATGAGTTAGAACCGCCCTTAGACGAAATGAGGTGGGTTTTCTTTTTTCAATTCCTATTTCTACTGGTTAATTCTTGTCAAGAGTTTTGGAAACATTGGGGGAATGTTTCTTGTCCGTCCTCGGCAAACAGCTGTTACCAATCAAAAAACTTTTCCTTCGTTAAGTTATTCGATCAATCCTTATCCATCGAGTGCGGCGAAGAAAGGATCGACTCTGGTTTGATGCGATGTTTGGACGTTAAAAGTGTACAAAGGATACAATTTATAAATTGTTATATGTCTGGGATTGACTTTGGAATATTCACTTTCGGGTATGGAATCGAACACGTCGAGATAAGGTACACAAAATACACCGGTATAACAGAAACTTCGAGAGCGCCTCGTTTAATAACATGTCCTCTCTGCGATCTGTCGAAATAGAAGGCTTGAAGACGTCGGAACTTCTAAATTTAACATTTCATAATGTTCCATCGCTGACTTCATTGAGAATTAAACGCTATAACTTCACTTTATTTCCGAACAAACCTTTCCGAGAGTTAATTAATCTTTCCGAATTATACATCACGCAAGGCAAGTTAAAAGTTCTACCCGAAGATCTATTTCATAACCTTTACGGTTTGAGAAAACTGGACTTAAGTTACAATAGAATTGAATCCATTTATCCACTTGTCTTTAGAAATCTATCCAGATTGGAACATTTGGATTTATCAGTGAATCGGATAAAGGATTTACCCAGTGACATGTTGAAAGGTCTTTCTAACTTAAGTACATTTTCTATTGGTTGGAACCGAGAAGTATCAGAAATTCCGTCCGGATTCTTTAAGAAACTGCACAACTTGACTAAAATTTATGCAGAGGTTTGTTCTATTTCTTCACTTAAAGAAGACGTATTTTCTGACTTGATTAATTTGAAAACCGTCTATATAGGTTTCAACCAAATTAAACATCTCCGGTCAAATCTTCTGAGAAATAACAAGCGACTGACACGATTTTCATGTTATTCTAATAACATATCGACACTTCCGACAGGAATTTTTCGCGGTCTTTCTCAACTGCAATTTTTAAGTTTGGGAAAAAACCGGTTAGAAAATCTTCCCGAAGATATTTTTCTAAATTTGACGTCATTACAGACTCTTACTTTGTCAAGCAATCGCCTGACATTTTTACCCGAAAAGATCTTCCTCCCATTGACTAGATTAACGCTTCTCGAGCTATATGACAACAATATAACTGAAATTATTGGCGAGCATCCTTTCGGCAGCAGCGAGCGTCTAAGTGAAGTGAATTTAAACAAGGCAGGTTTGACACAATGGCCGGTGATTAATTGGACACAATACAACTTAAATAAAGTGTTTTTCTCAAATAATAATTTCGAAACCGTGAAATTGCCAATTTACACTCCAAAACGCGTGAAAATTAATCTGTCTAACTGTAAAATCAGAACAATTTACATTGATGAGTGGAAATATGGATCTGAAATGCCGACGTATAATTTAAGTAATAACGAAATTACTTGTGATCACAAACTGCAGCAATTCGTTTCTTTCGTTAAGTCAAATATGGAAGTAGCGAGGAAAATGTTTCCAAATATAGAAAAGACGAAATGTTACGGAGAAGAAAGAAATTTGCTGGAAAATACATCGCTTGTAGTCATAGGAAATAATTGTCCGATGAATTGCGAATGTTTTACCGAAAAAAACCGTGTGATTGTCAATTGTTCCGGAAAGGGAATCGACAGAATTCCCGAAATTCTCGTCCCCAATGCCACAATTGTCGACTTGAGTAATAATTATATAAAAGAGTTGTCAAATGTCGATCGTGTGACGTGGAAAAACGTCACCCATCTACGTCTGAGTAATACTTCTTTAAGTAACATCTCTGATTATGTTCTTTTGCCAAACCTGAAATTTTTGTGGTTGGACGGAAACCGGTTAACCGAATTGTCTTCCCGATTAATGAACTTTATCGACGTTTCTCCGGAATTTAAGCTTTACTTATCCAGAAACAATTGGAATTGCCATTGCCATTCGCAGTTTACTAAGGACTGGTTGCTTAGAAACCGACAGAAAATTGCAGATTTCTCTGATGTTTCCTGCGCGAGAAATTCGTCTTTTGTGTCTTTTATCGAAATTGTTTCCACTGATGGATGCGCAGAAATTTCAGAAAATAATTTGACGTCGTCAGTAAATTCTAGTTGTATAAAGTGCGTGTGTTCGGACGAAGTTAATAGTGTTTTTGGGTGGAAAATCGCAGTGGCTGTTCTTACTTCGCTAGTGTTGTTAGGTGTGGTTATTGTTGTCGCCATTGTTTATTGTCGCGGTAAAGAAAATGTTCGGAAAGTGTGAAAGACTAGCCAAGACGAAGTGCTTTATTACGATGTTTAAACCTGACGAATTCTGTAATTACGACGATTCAAAGGCTTCGAGTTTGTCGCTTTAGTAAAGTTATAATAAATTGTTATCATTTAGTAATTGTTTCTATAAAATCAATTTTGTATACTTCAAATATACTGCGCTTTCGTGCCCAATTATGATTACGAACCACGTTATAAAATCTGTAATATATCAGTGAAATTCATTAATTAGTCAATACTTTGTCTAGTCTACAGATAAAAGAATGAAGTGAAAGTAATATATTCTCTAATTCAGCGAAACTGACGTTCTTATAGCAATAAATAACTTTCGATGGAGAATCTGACCCGATCCAGATCTAAGTCCTCTACGGTGACCTTCATTTATACTTCTATTCTTTTCTCTTCTTCCTTCTCCGGATGTTTCCATTCGTCGAAGTCTATCGTCACTCGTTCCGTTCTTCGCCTTTTTCCGGACGACGTCCCGCTCTTTCTTGTCGCCGACATCTTACACTACGAGGTGCAGAATACGGTATAAATTTACAAAAAATATGAAGTCTCGAACATTGCTAACGCTTGTTGTAATAAAAACCGAGCGATTGTGAGAACGTGACTAAGACTATGAAAGAGGATTCCTTCGCTGGACAACAATCGTTAAAGGACTGGTTTTATACGATCATATCAATTTGGAATGTAACAGAGAATTTGCCTACTGAAACTTTTTACATTCGGGATTTCATTTAAACTGAATTTCATCCTTCTCATGCACATTCACTATTAAACATTTTGATAAAAAAAAATTAAAAATTTCAAAATTCTCTTACCGATTCCAATTTACTCTTTGTCTAGTAATATTCACGTCTTCTTTATAGTGACTTATAATACGGAGTAAAAACACAGTTATTCGTAACAAAGGCGAGCAGTGATTCTAGAAGGATCAGTTGTAAGCTGGCGAATTATCTATTTACTATTTTGTTATACCCGGCTTCGCCAGGATTCATAAATTACCCGTAGCAGTAATTGTTACACCCAGCGTTTTTAATGGCAAGATTCACAAACGTCTGTGGCAAAATCCTTTTACCCCGAAATACTAAGCACGAGTAAAATTGACTAACTTTATCCGATTTTTTATTTAGTACTTACTCTGCATGTACCACGCTTTACAGAAAACCCTGGCTGCCGACAGTGCGTCTTTCGCAGAACCTGCAATATACCTTTCTGAAACAAACACACCGGTCAGCAATTCGCTGTGTTTTATTGGCAATCTAATATAAACTGGCGAGTACAGAGTTTCTAGCCGTTTGACCTCAGTTACCAGTTAGTTATATATAACAATTCCTACACTCAAAACAAAGGTGTAACATCTAAAACTGCGGTTTTGGAGCCGATAGCGCATCCGAAAGTGTCCTCGAGGCGGTTTGTTGACCTACTGTCACAGTTCTTAGCAGCGGAAGTGTCGTACGTTGGTTAAAAGTTGCTATGCCAACCGTTCGGACGTTGACCTTGTCGTAACGTAGGTCGTAACTCGATGCGACTGTCTTCCGCGGAATTGTCCTCACTGGATGCCGGACTCGCAGCGTTGACGGTCTCAGTGTGTAAAGTTCGTTCACCCACCGTGTCGATCCACTGCAACACGAGTCTCGAGTCACAATAATAGAGGTCTGTGTTACAGAAATTGTTACAACTAAATACTCTCTGAAAAAATGACGATAGCGTGAAGTTAGGACTATGTTAGAGCGTGCGCCTTTTCTAATTTCGTTGTCCGATTTTTGATTCGCGGCAAGTCCCTAAGAAATGGTGCTTAATTTGTAGCATCGGCGTCGCGGGATGGATCGGAAGTGAGACGTAACTTTGTCGTCGTTGCGAGTCCACTTCGGTTACGCTACTGTTGGTGCTGGGTTGTTTTCTATAGACTGGCTAGGTCTTCCGACGAGACCAAAAATGACCATTAAAAGTCGAAATAATTGCGTAAAACTCAATAGTCTTGGTCGAATTTCTCCCTCTGGATTAGTTTCTGGTTCCGATCTTCCAAAATCGCGTAGTCTCCAGAAGCCAAACCTTTATTCAATTTCTGCAGATATAATTTATTCTTTACCTTATGCAAATTACCAGCGACGTTTCTTTCCTTAACAAAGTTAGCTGTCGCAATCCGATTTCCAAATGTTACCCGTCTCGTCGCATTCGATGCACCATTTCTACTTAAAACACTTATTCTACATTCCGCAATCGCTCTTATAAAATAACTCGGAACTTACTGATCTTGGCTTCGCTACTATCTTGGTAAATTTCTTCCAAACTACAGTTTAAACTCGGCCTGATGGGAAAATTTCTATTAAGTAGTTTATTCAAAACTGCAATATTCGAATTCATCGACATACACCGAATCTATTAGAAACAAATTAATAACTGAACTACGTATAGAACTCGCATAAAAATAACAACCTTTAGAGGCTAATGGATCTTTTCCATTCGTAATCGGTTAGCCGAAATTCTCAAAAAAAACTTAAAATTGATAAACTTTGCACATTTACTATCAGATCCCGCGATATTCTCGATATCCAACACCATCCAGTAGGTGCATTAAACTGCTATTAATCTGACGGTAACTGGCTTCCTCAATAATCACAAAATTTTTACGATGGTAGAACTCCTCGATAGCGGATTTACCATCCCACCGAATTTCCGATAAAACGACAATCCGAAAAGAGGACATAAACTGTTAAAATATATAAGATTTATTCGAAATCCTTTTACAGTTCGAGACGTTATTGAAACGTGGCAACGAGATCAAGATCCGCCTCGCATTTCCATCCTCTTCCAGGAAGTATTACAAGTGAACACTTTATCGTTCACCTTAATTGCATCGCTATCGTTTATCTATATAATCTGCGCTCCTTTCTTTTTGGGCAAAGGATGTGGCTATTTTCCTAACTTTTCTTGTCGAAGGAGGTAGATCTAGATCATCCGTTTTAAAAATATCAGAACCTTGAATACAATCGTACCCAGCAAAAATAAACAAATAACGTAACCAACACCTTATTGTTTGCTGAGGGAGTTTTATTAAAAACGAACGTTTTCGATCCACTTAATGGATAATCATCAGGCTAGAACATACGAAAATGGAATATATCATAAATGGAACAATAAGTTCAAAACTTCAAAAATATCAATAAACTGATAACATGTTAATTAATAAGAATAAAAAATAATTTGTAAACGATACCTAAAAATAAATAACATACTACAAAGACTAAACATTAATACGATCTATCATAGCTAAATAGAAACTACTAGGTTTCCTTTAAATCAAATATATATCATATTTCAGTTGATGCGCTACTTATAAGCTTTTTAACGGCAAATTTCCAAGCCGAGGGAAGACCTTCCGCATCCCTAGCATTAATGCATCCTCCTTTAAGTTTGCTCCTGTATATTTCCATTTTTTCGGCCGTCTTCGCCAAAGTTGGTGAGTGTACTTGTCTCACGACTTCCGCTTCCTCCCATCCAACCAGGGATTTTTGGGCCTGCGCCATCTGGGCCAATATTGTTATATTAGATCCTTTTCTAGCGTCATATTTGTGTTCTCTAATCCTTACCCCGAGGTTTCTGGTAGTAACTCCTACGTAATCTTTTTTTATTTCTAATAGCTGGTTCTCGTAGGAAATCTTGTAAACACCTGCCTTATCTTCTTTTTTAATAACCCCTTTATCGTTTTTAAGAATTTTATATAAATTGGGAGCTCTTTTCAAAATCACCGTTGAGTCTTTAACGCTAGCAATTTCCTTCATAATTCCTCCTAAATATTTGTTGAATGTAAATTTTGTGTACTTAGATGGACCTTGTCTGGAGACTTTATCATTATTTTTCTCAAATTTTTTAACAATACCCGTTATAATATTTCTCTTATATCCTAAGGCTTCTGCTAACTGTATGATCCTTTCGATCTCAGTAATTCGGTCTATAATGTTGTCGCAGTATAGAAAAGCCCTTCTAACCAAGGCACGAAATGCTGCCAGTTTGTAACGATATGGGTCATTGGACTTAACAGGGATGTATAGTGGGCTATGTGTTGGTTTGATGTACACGCTGGTGGATACAAGCCCTTTGCTGGTGCATTTTATGGTGCATTTCTTAGATATTAATATCATCTTTAGCAAAAAGCATATGGTGTGTAGATTACGTCACACCTGCCGAACAAACCGGTTTCTCGCTTCCATCCTTCCTCTAGTCTCTTTCGCGTCTCGTGTCGTAACATATGTGTCGTACAAATTGCCATTTCGTACGATGACGTAACTTCGAATTTTCTGAATGGGTAAAAATATTAAAGTTTTATATATGGTGGTTTATGACATTAAGTCGGTAGATAGAGTATAAGTAACGAACATAATCGATATTTATACAAGACCAAAGACCAATAAATCAGTACGGAAGGACCATAAATTATTCATTCAATTATTTAAATGCCAACGACGGATAAAATAATTACCGTTAGAAATCAAAGTAATGTTTATTCGTTCGGATTTTTATTTATTTAAGTTCATTACACTTCCTGTATTATTTAATACTTAAACACAATTATTTTCGTACGCAAACTAACACACCCGCGGCCATTCTTACGAAATATCCAACCGGGATACTCATTTAACGTTATAACTTGATATTTCTGCGAGAATTGCCTTAGGGAGAACTGCGTGATGTTTCTGTAGAAATGGAAATCGCCGACGTCAATTTTTATTGTGTCGTCGACCACTGCCAACGAAGTATCTATAATAGCCGCTTCCTAAATTACGATTTCTGAGTTTTGTATTTTTGTTGGCTATTTTCCGACAGATTTATTCCAGATTCGTGTGTCGAATGGAATAGAACCGTCCTTAGACGAAATGAGGTGGGTTTTCTTCTTGCAATTCCTATTTCTAGTGGTTAATTCTTGTCAAGAGTTTTGGAAACATTGGGGGAATGTTTCTTGTCCGTCGTGGGCAAACAGTTGTCACGAATCGAAGCACCTTCCCTCTGTTCAAATATTTAATCAATCCTTATTCATCGAGTGCGGNTTACGATTTCTGAGTTTTGTATTTTTGTTGGCTATTTTCCGACAGATTTATTCCAGATTCGTGTGTCGAATGGAATAGAACCGTCCTTAGACGAAATGAGGTGGGTTTTCTTCTTGCAATTCCTATTTCTTGCGGTTAATTCTTGTCGAGAGTTTTGGCAGCATTGGGGGAATGTTGCTTGTAAGTCGTGGGGAGACAGCTGCTACGAATCAAAGAACTTTTCCTCCGTTAAAATATTAAATCCATTTTTATTAATCAGATGCGGCGAGGAAAGGATCGACTGACTCTCGTTTAATGCGATGTTTGGATGTTAAAAATGTACGAGAGGTACAATTTAAAGATTGTTATATGTCTGAAATTGACTTTGGAACGTTCACTTTCGAGTATAAAATCGAACACTTGAAGATATGGTACACATTCAGGTATAAAAGAATCTTCGAGAGCGCCTCGTTTAATAACATGTCCTCTCTGCGATCTGTCGAAATAGAATACGTGAAAACGTCGGAACTTCTAAATGTAACATTTCGCAACGTTCCATCGCTGACTTCACTGAAAATCAAATACTATAACTTCACTTTACTTCCCAACAGACCTTTCCGAGAGTTAATTAATCTTTCCGAATTATACATCACGCGTGGAAATTTAAGAGCTTTACCAGAAGATCTATTTTATAATCTTCACAATTTGGAAAAACTGCGGTTAATTCTGAATAAAATTGAATCGATTCATCCACTTGTCTTTAAAAATCTCTCCAAACTGGAATATTTGAATTTAGGATTTAATGAAATAAAGAATTTACCGGGTGATACGTTAAAAGGTTTTTTTAACTTAACAAACTGCTGACACAGTTTTCCTGTTCGGAAAATAAAATATCGACACTTCCGAAAGGAATTTTTCATGGACTTTCTGAACTGCGAGTGTTAGAGTTGGAGGGAAACCGGTTAGAAAATCTTCCCGAAGTTGTTTTTCTGAATTTGTCGTCATTGCGAAGACTCAGTTTATCAAAAAATCGCCTGACATTTTTACCCGAAAATATCTTCCTTCCATTGACTAAATTAACCAATCTCGATCTATCTAACAACAGTTTAAGTAAAATTATGGGTGAGCGTCCTTTTGGCAGCGGCAAGCATCTAAATTATCTGAATTTAAATAATGCAGGTTTGACGCAATGGCCAGTGTTAGATTGGACAGAATACAACTTGACTGAAGTCGATTTCTCAAATAATCGTTTTGAAATTGACAAATTGCCAATTTACACACGAAATCCAGTGATAATTCTTCTGTCTAATTGTAAAATCAGAACAATTTACGTCGATGACAGGAAACATGGATTTCAAATGCCGACTTATTATTATTTAAATAATAATAAAGTTACTTGCGATCACAAACTGCAGCAGTTCGTTTTTGCCCTTAAGTCAAATACAGAATTAGCAAAGAAAATGTTTCCAGGAATTGAGAACACGAAATGTTACGGAGAAGAAAGAAATTTGCTGGATGATACATCTCTTGTGGTCATTGGAAATTATTGTCCGATGAATTGCGAATGTTCTGCACAAGATAATCACGTGGTGGTGAATTGTTCCGGAAAGGGAATCGACCGAATTCCCGAAGTTCTCGTTTCCAATGCGACGATTGTCGATTTAAGTAATAATTACGTAAAAGAGTTTTCTGATGTCGATTGTGTGACGTGGAGAAACGTCACCCATCTGCGTCTGAGTAATAATTCGATAAGTAACATTTCGGATTATGTTATTTTACCAAACCTGAAATACCTCTGGTTGGACGGAAACCGGTTAACCGAATTGCCTTTCGGTTTAATGAACTTGTTCGACGTTTCGCCGAAATTTCAGATTCACTTGTCCAGAAACAATTTCTATTGTCATTGTCATTCTCTCATTACTAAGGACTGGTTGCTTAGAAACAGGCAGAAGATTGCAGATTTCTCCGATGTTTTCTGCGCGAGAAATTCGTCTTCTGTGTCTTTCACCGAAATTATTTCCAATGAAGAATGCACAGAAATTGCAGAAATAAATTTGGCATCTTCAGTACACAATTCGTCTTCGATCGAGTATTCATTGGATGAAGTTAATTTTGTTTCTGGATGGAAAATCGCAGTGACTGTTCTTACTTCGCTAATGTTAATAGGTGTAAATGTTGTTGCTTTCTCTGCTTATTGTCGTAGAGAAGAAAGTGTCGAAGACTAAGCGAGAAGTGATGTATTATAATGTTTACACCTGACAAATTTTGTAAATATTATAATTAAAATTCCTCGTGTTTGAACGCTTTAATGAATAATTATTCGTAAATTACTATGATTTTTTATTTGTCTTTGTTGAAATTAATTTTCTATACTTTAAATAATTATAATGTTTCATATATTAATTTTGTATACTTTCTTGCGCATTTTGACTACGAATTATCTTATAAAATGTGTAATTATTGCGTAATAAAGCAGTAAATTGAGCGTAAATAAATATTGGTCTTCGACAATTAAACAACTTTTTCTCTATAGAAAGTTCGAAAATGAAAGTAATAATATCCCATTCAGAAAAATTATTATTAAATTTGTAATTTCTACTAAAGATCGTTGACGGTTCTGTGGTTTTTTGTAGCATTAAATCGACTTCGGGAATTTCTGTAGTATGTATTGTGTGTTAAGCATAGTTTTCTAGATTATACCATAATAATGTGTATAAAAACTGAAAATTAGAGGAAAGGGGAAATAAAAATGTCAAGAAACACGTGGACGTAATTTACGGACATTCTAACACTATATTTTGAATACATATAAAGCATATAAGTAGTTTTATAAATATTTCGATTTCAAAGTCAAAAAATCGTCGTTCTTTAAACGGCGTATAGATTACGTCACACCTGCCGAACGAACCGGTTTCTCGCCTCCATCCTTCCTCTAGTCTCTTTCGCGTCTCGTGTCGTAACGTATGGCCAACGACGTAATTTCACAAATTGTCATTTCATAGGATGACGTAACTTCGAATTTTCTGAATGGGTAAAAATATTAAAGTTTTATATATGGTGGTTTATGACATTAAGTCGGTAGACAGAGTATAAGTAACAAACATAATCGATATTTATACAAGACCAAAGACCAATAAATCAGTACAGAAAAACGATAAATTATTCATTCAATTATTTAAATGCCAACGACGGATGAAATAATTACCGTTAGAAATCAAAGTAATGTTTATTCGTTCGGATTTTTATTTATTTAAGTTCATTACACTTCCTTTATTATTTAGTACTTAAACACAATTATTTTCGTACGCAAACTTATACACCCGCAGCCATTCTTACGAAATATCCAACCGGGATACTCATTTAACGTTATAACTTCATATTTCTGCGATAATTGCGTAAGGAAGAAACAAGTAAATTAAAAATTGCGTAATATTTCTGTAGAAATGGAAATTGCCGACGTCAATTTTTATTGTGTCGTCGACCACTGCCAACGAAGTATCTATAATAGCCGCTTCCTAAATTACGATTGCAGAGTTCTGTACTTTTGTTGGCTATTTTCCGACAGATTTACTTTAGATTCGTGTGTCGAATGGAATAGAACCGTCCTTAGACGAAATGAGGTGGGTTTTCTTCTTGCAATTCCTATTTCTTGCGGTTAATTCTTGTCGANTTACGATTGCAGAGTTCTGTACTTTTGTTGGCTATTTTCCGACAGATTTACTTTAGATTCGTGTGTCGAATGGAATAGAACCGTCCTTAGACGAAATGAGGTGGGTTTTCTTCTTGCAATTCCTATTTCTTGCGGTTAATTCTTGTCGAGAGTTTTGGCAACATTGGGAGAATGTTGCTTGTAAGTCGGTGGAAGACGGCTGCTACGAATCAAAGAACTTTTCCTCCGTTGAAATCTTAAATCAATCCTTATTAATCAAATGCGGCGAGGAAAGGATCGACTCTCGTTTAATGCGATGTTTGGATGTTAAAAATGCACGAGAGGTACAATTTAAAGATTGTTATATGTCTGGGATTGACTTTGAAACGTTCACTTTCGGGTATAAAATCGAACACTTGACGATATGGTACACATTGAGGTATAAAAAAATCTTCGAGAGCGCCTCGTTTAATAACATGTCCTCGCTGAAATCTGTCGAAATACAATACGTGAAGACGTCGGAACTTCTAAATGTAACATTTCGCAACGTTCCGTCGCTGACTTCATTGACAATTATATGGTATAACTTCACTTTATTTCCCAACAAACCTTTCCGAGAGTTAATTAATCTTTCCAAATTATACATCACGCGTGGAAATTTAAGAGTTTTACCAGAAGATGTATTTTATAATCTTTACAATTTGGAAAAACTGCTGTTAATTCTGAATAAAATTGAATCGATTCATCCACTCGCCTTTAGAAATCTCTCCAAACTCGAAAATTTGAATTTAGGCTGGAATCGGATAAAGAATTTACCAGGTGATACGTTGAAAGGTCTTTTTAACTTAAGGACATTTTCTATTACTAACAACCGACGATTATCAGAAATTCCGTCGGGATTCTTTAAGAAACTGCACAACTTGACTGAAATTAATGCAGAGTCTTGTTCTATTTCTTCACTCGCAGAAGACGTATTTTCTGACTTGATTAATTTGAAAATCGTCTATTTAGGTTCCAATCGAATTGAACGTCTCCCGCCAAATCTTTTGAAAAATAACAAACGACTGACACGATTTTCTTGTTCGAAGAATAAAATATCGACACTTCCTACAGAAATATTTCACGGACTTTCTGAACTACGAGAGTTATCGTTGTGGAGAAACCGGTTAGAAAATCTTCCCGAAGATGTTTTTCAGAATTTATCGTCATTGCAAGAACTCAGTTTATCATTGAATCGCCTGACATTTTTACCCGAAAATATATTCCTCCCATTGACTAGATTAACGAATCTCGATTTATCTTACAACAATTTAACCGAAATTACTGGTGAGCGTCCTTTTGGCAAGCATCTAAATTATCTGAATTTAAATAATGCAGGTTTGACACAATGGCCGGTGATAAATTGGACAGAATACAACTTAACTGAAGTAATTTTGTCAAATAATCATTTCGAAACTGTCAAATTGCCAATTTACACACTAAATCGAGTGATAATTCGTCTGTCTAACTGTAAAATCAGAACAATTTATTTAGATGAGTGGAAATATGGATTTCATATGCCGACGTATGATATAAGTAATAATGAAATCACTTGTGATCACAAACTGCGGCAATTCGTTTCTTTCGTTAATTCAAATATAGAAGTAGCGAAGAAAATGTTTCCAAATATAGAGAAGACGAAATGTTACGGAGAAGAAAGAAATTTGTTAGATAATACATTTCTCGTTGTAATAGGAAATTATTGTCCGATGAATTGCGAATGTTTTGCCAAAGAAAATCAAGTGATAGTCAATTGTTCCGGAAATGGAATCGACAAAATTCCCGAAGTTCTCCTCCCGAATGCGACGATTGTCGATTTAAGTAATAATTACATAAAGGAGTTATCTAAAGTCGATTGCGTAACGTGGAAAAACGTCACTCATTTGCGTCTGAGTAATAATTCGATAAGTAACATTTCGGATTATGTTATTTTACCAAACCTGAAATACCTCTGGTTAGACGGAAACCGGTTAACCGAATTACCTTCCGGTTTAATGAACCTGCTCGACGTTTCGCCGGAATTTAAGATTTACTTGTCCAGAAACAATTTTTATTGTCATTGTCATTCTCTCATTACTAAGGACTGGTTGCTTAGAAACAGGCAGAAGATTGCAGATTTCTCCGATGTTTTCTGCGCGAGAAATTCGTCTTCTGTGTCTTTCACCGAAATTGTTTCCAATGACGGATGCACAGAAATTCCAAAAATAAATTTGGCCTTTTCAGTAAATGATTCTTCTTCAATCAAATATTGATTGGATGAAGTTAGTTCTTCTTTGTGGTGGAAAATCGCAGTGACTGTTCTTACTTCGCTAATGTTAATAGGTGTAAATGTTGTTGCTTCCTTTGCTTATTGTCGCAGAAAAGAAAGTGTCGAAGACTAAGCGAGAAGTGATGTATTATAATGTTTACACCTGACAAATTCTGTAAATATTATAATTAAAATTCCTCGTGTTTGAACGCTTTAATGAATAATTATTCGTAAATTACTATGATTTTTAATTTGCTTTTATTGAAATTAATGTTCTATATTTTAAATAATTATAATGTTTCGTATATTAATTTTGTATACTTTCTTGCGCATTTTGACTACGAATTATATTATAAAATGTATAACTATTGCGTAATAAAGCAGTAAATTGAGCGTAAATAAATATTGGTCTTCGACAATTAAACAACTTTTTCTCTATAGAAAGTTCGAAAATGAAAGTAATAATATCCCATTCAGAAAAATTATTATTAAATTTGTAATTTCTACAAAAGATCGTTGACGGTTCTGTGGTTTTTTGTAGCATTAAATCGACTTCGGGAATTTCTGTAGTATGTATTGTGTATTAAGCATAGTTTTCTAGATTATACCATAATAATGTGTATAAAAACTGAAAATTAGAGGGAGGGGGAAGTAAAAACATTAAGAAACACGTGGACGTAATTTACGGACATTGTAACACTATATTGTGAATAAATATAAAGCATATAAGTACTTTTATAAATATTTCGATTTTAAACAGTCAAAAAATTGGCGTTCTTTAAACAGCGTGTAGATTACGTCGCACCTGCCGAACGAACCGGTTTCTCGCCTCCATTTTTTCTCTAGTCTCTTTCGTGTCTCGTGTCGTAACGTATGGCCAAGGACGTAATTTCACAAATTGTCATTTCATACGATAACGTAATTTCGAATTTTCTGATTGGGTAAAAATATTAAAGTTTTACGCGCGGTTATTTATGACACTAAGTCGGTCGACACAGTTATAAATAGCGAACATAATCGCTATTTACAAAGACCAATAAATCAATACAGAATGACGATAAATTATTTATTCAATTATTTAATTGCCAACGACGGATGAAATAATGACCGTTAGAAATGAAAGTAATGTTTATTCGTTCGGATTTCCCTTTATTCGAGTTCGTTACACTTTTCTTATTATTTCGTACTTAAACACAATTATTTTCGTACGCAAACTGCTCGGATCGATTTTAGTTTAAATTACATTTTGTCAAAACATAATTTAAATTTTTTTGAATAAAAAATTTCGCTATCGAAGGAACATAAAATCAAGAAATTTTATACTTATTTCGTATTTACCAGGAAAATTCTTATTTTAATAATATAACAGACGTCACGCAAAAACATTCCTTCGCGTCACATAAAACACATTCGATGTATCGAAGAACGCGATCGATTATCGCGTTGTCGACCACTGGCAACGAAGTATCTATAATAGATGCTTCATAAATTATGATTTCTGAGTTCTGTATTTTTGTTGGATATTTTCCGACAGATTTACTTCAGATTCGTGTGTGGTGGAAAATCGCAGTGGCTGTTCTTACTTCGCTGATGTTAATAGGTGTGGTTATTGTCGCTTCCTTTGTTTATTGTAGCAAAAAGAAAATGTCGAGATAGTGCCAAAGTGTAAGGAAGAAGAAATGATTTATTTTAATGTTTACTCCTGACAAATTCCGTAATTGCGACAATTCGAAGGCTCCGAGTGTCATCTTTTTAGTGAATAAGTTGTCATAAATTGTTATTATTTTTTATATTCATATATAGTGTGCTGTCGTACGAAATTGTGATTACGATCTATATTACGAAATCTGTAACAATTAGATAATAAAGGTGTAAATTAGACACAAAGCTACGAATAAAATTCAGTAATTTATCGATAATTTGTATAATTAATGAGGAAATAAAAGAATGAAATCTAGCAACGAGTCGCTGCAACATCATTTGAAACTGCGTGTGAGATGCGATCTGTTACGATGTTTTATTTAAAAACTTTTTATATAATTAATTATTATAAATCTCGAAAATGGCAAAAAGCCGATTATGTGGTCGTTTTCCATCTTGCACTAATTATTGAGTAAAATATTTGTAATTGTTCATATAACATTTCTCTAAATAATCTTGTTGTATGCTTTTCAGAAGAATGACGTAAAAGAAAAGCATCATTTGAAGAAAACTTGTTATTAACATTACAACACAAATATCAATGTTAATATCATTTACTTTACTCCCCGTTACATTCGGGTTATTAAATTACGCCTATAGTCTGACGGAGAATCCACGCAATACATCTATTCTTGACAAAAGTCTCGCTTCGATAACTTATCCCGTCTTTCAATCAGTTGTTTACATTTTTAAATACGATAACTTTTTTATTTTTGCTCTCCGGTCCAAAAGTAGAGTATCGTTGAACTCGTCTCGGTTCCCTCAGTTCAAATATATATTCAAAGTCCCGAAATTCCGTAGGAATTAATCTATAGTACAGCCGAAAATTAGGTTACGCGTGAGATTGTCGACGTAAACTGTCGGCTTTTCCGGAGTGCAGCGGATTCTCTGGAGAAAGCGTCATTTACAGTAGCTATGATTCTTTTTCCCGATACGTGCCAATGATGAATATTGTTTTTAAAATGAAATATCAATCAACGAAGATAATATATGTAACGAATCTGAAGATGAGTATAAAAAATAACCAATTCTATCAAACAATATTTAATGAATTTACGCTTTCTCAATTTGTTTTAATTATTTGGGTGTAGTGCGTATATTGGAAAATCTTTTAGCTATATTTATAAAATGGCGACTGTCGCACGGATTACTCCGGAATATATAGCCTGGTCTTCTATACTAATATTATAAAGAAGTAATGTTTGTATGTATGTATGTATGTATGTTAGTTTGTATGCAGCAGGTAATCTCCGAAACTACTCATCCGATTTCAAAATTTTTTCACCAATATTTAGAATAAAACTTCAGGGTGGACATAGGCTGTATATTATTCCGTTAAACATGGGAATGGACAGTTCTTTACGGTTAGCCTTACGGGGAAGGCTTACCGTAAAGAACTCTGTTTCTATTTATACTATTTTAGATGCGGTATTTTGCATTTTTGATTGCATTTTAATAGGGTATGTCAACAGAATGTACACAAAGAAGGGATATTTCGATATCCCCCCGGGGAGAGGGACAGGATTAAGGCTTACTGTGAAGAACTTTACTTCTATTATACTATTTTAGATGCGGGTTTTTGCGCTTTTCATTGCGTTTTAATAAGGTACGTCAAGAGAATGTACACTAAGAAAAAATTTTTCGAAAAATATTCTCTCACGGGGGAAGTGTTATACATTTATAATAGATACATTTTGAGCCACAACAGGGCGTGGCGGGGTCTGCTAGTTTATTTATATTTTCATTTTACAATAAATTTTATTCTAATAAGGGATGATGGCGCAAGATGGAGTCGTGGAAGAAAGTCTGTTTATTTGTGGTTAATGCGCTTTTATCTGGCTGTTATTTGGGGAACTAAATGTCAAACTCGAAAGGAATCGTGGAACGAGAGAACGTCCAAATCGTTTTCTTTGTTTGGAAGTAAGATACGTTTTCCGTGATTCAACAATACTTCGTTTAATTTTACGCCCGCTAAAAAGTTTCTACAAAGTAAGTATCATTGTGAACTTTTACATTACCTTTTACGTGAAGATTTTATGGTATTCGAAGTAACCTTTAAAACTGTAATTGGTTAGTTTTGAAACGAAGTTTACCCGTGTTTGCAGTCGGTACGAAAAGTGTACGTTGAGGGCAAGATGGGGTACCCGTCTAGCCCCGGTTTGACCATTCGTGGCCTATGAATCCAGAAGTATTTTCGGAGGCAGATTTTATTGCTGCAGAAGTGACAAACGGGCCCCTTCGGCGAGGGTAGCCTAACAGAAAACAAAAGGGGAATAACATAGAATGCCTCTATTGAGGACAATTATACTCTGTATCTCTGTATTTAAAAAATTTGTAGACCTATAAATTCCTACAGCCGTCCGGCAGTCCTTCCTTAATCTCGAGAAAGGTGTGAGAAAGAGGAAAGCCGATAGCGGACGCGAAACGTGTAGGAACAGTAGGACACGATTAACTATATAAACAGTGTAAAGTATTGGCTTGTAAACGGTAAAGGAACAAACGAAACTCGCTAATTGATTTCACGGGTGGTCCGGTGGTAAACGCTTGGGAGTAAACAAGTGGGTGACCATCCACATTGAAGATAGACTGAAGTCAAAGTAAGCTTCATTCTCATCCTATTTAAGCTGACCCGTGACCAGGGTGAAAGCTGTTGGCAAGGACTATCGGTAGTTGGTCGGAAGTTTCCATCCAAAAGTTCTTAAATTATAGGAGGAGTGGGAGAACAGGAAAAGGGCTGGAGACTGGTAACGCGAAAGTTTCTGACACTCGGAAAGCCCGCTGAGGTTAAAAAGCCAGCATAATCCTCTGCAAGATATCTCGGGAACGAGTAAGTGCCGAGACCGGAGGAACCGCGCAGTAGAGTTACTATACAGGCCGAACGGAGGCTTCTCCAAAACTTATTCGTTCCCGAACGCCAAACTAGTACGCGAGGCAGCACGCTCGATGTATCCTGTACTTATTGTGTTTTCAAGTCGTACAGTCTATATATATTTTGTAAATAAACTGTGTATACTGATTTTCTTGTGCGTGGACGTGTGCTTTCAACGAACCTACTTCAGAACTATTTCGAGTTGTGCTTCACCGATAGGTCGGATTTAAACCGGAAGTCACGTAACTACAATTCGAATAATCCCCCCCCCGAATTGAGTTAAGTAGATAACCGGCAAGACTTTATTGTTAAATGAAATAAGTGATGTACGAAACCGAGCCACTACTAATTTGAGGTGGAGAGCATATATTTTAAATTAATGAATAATTCCTTCTTACGTACTAATGTATAAATGATTTTCATTGTTCTAGTTTAATTTTTGACCCAATTTTTGTACATTTTTCTTGCAAATCCATTTTATTGCCTGAGTTAGACTGACAGACAGTCAGACATTATTCTTTATATACACATAGTACAGACCCGGTACCGCATTGGCACAACCGGGTATGATGTACAGTTACAACAGGGCAAATTTACAGAGTATTGCAAGATAAGCATATATATAAACAGTAGAATAAGAGAAAAAAAATAAAAATAAATAAATAAATAAAATGAAATAAAGTAAAATATTCAAAACATATAAAAGAGGATACATTACAGATAGTACTTTACAATAAACATGCAAAGTAAGTAACATACAAAATGCACAATATACACAGATGAAGTACGTAGTAGGGAATATGGAAACCACTACTCAGTTGACAGGAGTTCGCCAGAAGTAGTTCTTTATCAGTTTCAGAAAGGCCATGAACAGCTCGTTATTCATCAACAAGTCGCTATGTTGACAAGGCCAGGATTTGTCAGTAGGAAGAAGCATGCGAATGGGTGCACGAGCATCCTCCAGCATGGGGCAGTGGAAGACGTAGTGTTCCACCCCGTCCGGCACACCGCAAAGTTGGCAATGGTCAGTTTGATTTAATAAATCTCACCATGTAGCTATGAAACTTCCCATGGCCAGTTAGGAACTGGGTGACGAGGCTAGTATCATGGTGGAGAATGGTCCGGTTATTATGAGAAACACTTGGGATGAAGCTTTTGGTTAACCTTCCCGTTTCAGTGTTGTTTCCGATCAATGTGCACACGGCTTAAACAGCCTGCCCAAACAGAGGCAGCATTACAGATCATAGGCAGAAAGACACTATCATAACTGATAGAAAGAATAGTTGGGGATAGACCCCATTTGGACTTTGCCACCTTAGAGACAGAATTAAACAGATGATTAGTCTTGTCCGTTACATGCTTNTATTCATCAACAAGTCGCTATGTTGACAAGGCCAGGATTTGTCAGTAGGAAGAAGCATGCGAATGGGTGCACGAGCATCCTCCAGCATGGGGCAGTGGAAGACGTAGTGTTCCACCCCGTCCGGCACACTGCAAAGTTGGCAATGGTCAGTTTGATTTATTGAATCTCACCATGTAGCTATTAAACTTCCTATGGCCAGTTAGGAACTGGGTGACGAGGCTAGTATCACGGTGGAGAATGGTCCGGTTATTGTGAGAAACACTTGGGATGAAGCTTTTGGTTATCCTTCCCGTTTCAGTGTTGTTCCATCTTCTTTGCCAGGTGTTCATAGCTTCATTTTTGAGGAGATACTTGATGTAGGTGACAGGGGTGTAGGAGTAGAGACTGTTGCCACTGTTTAGGCGGGTAGCCTCCCTTGCCAGATAGTCTGCTCTTTCATTACCTTGCAGTCCAGTGTGACCTCTAATCCAAGCGATGGCAAAGACATTGGTGGAGAGTGCAATACTAGTTTGTATCTTGACCACGATCGGGTTCCGTGGTAGGTGATTGTTGATGGCCTCTATCGTAAGTTGGCAATCTGTAAAAATGTTTATCCGGTTATCACCGTAGTTTTCATTGCACCAGTCAATGGCTAATAGGATGGCTGTAAGTTCTGCCTGGTAAACAGAGCAGTTTGCAGCAAGGTGGCCGGATGCATTGTACAATTCGACTCCTTTGCGATAGGCCACAAAGGCACTACCGACTTTGTCTAGAGTTTTGGACTCATCAGTGAATATTGAAAAGTGGTCGTTGTCCAGTGGGTGCGTATGGATGTGGAATCTCATAAAAGGAGGAAGTAGATCCTTCGGATGGCAAAAGGCTGGATAGTAAAATGCTATGACCTTTACGGTGGTGCCAACGTTTGGATGCCAGTAGAATGGCAAGGTCAATAGGTAGTTTGCCAGAGATGATCTGTAAGGCAGCCGTGGAAGAGATGGAATAGGCACGGCAGATGCGCAGAAGGGCTTTGCGCTGTGCACCACGGAGTTTCCGATCAATGTGCACACGGCTTAAACAGCCTGCCCAAACAGAGGCAGCATAACAGATCATAGGCAGAAAGACACTATCATAACTGATAGAAAGAATAGTTGGGGATAGACCCCATTTGGACTTTGCCACCTTAGAGACAGAATTAAACAGATGATTAGTCTTGTCCGTTACATGCTTGATGTGGTCGGCCCAGTTGAGTTTATGGTCGATAATGACCCCGAGGTATTTAATAGTAGTAGAGATCTTGATGGAGACACCTCCATTTTTATGGTGGGTGGTCTATGGTACAGATGGGGTTTTCTAGGTTCTTGAGTTAGACTCTTCGAAGTGATCGTACGTATTATTATTAATGCCAGAGATTAATGAAGTAATTTAGCACAGAAAACTAATTGATAAATAGAAGCTGCCAACGACCGTAATTACTATAACCATTTCCGCACGGTTTAAAGTATTTGACTTTCATTTTTAAAGTTTAGTTCTTCGAATTTCGCTTTATATAAATTGAAAATGCTTCCTTTTTAAGTTCTTGTTTAAAGGTAATCATTTTCGGATGCAAACTACCTGATTTAATTTAAGTTTATTCCTGGAAGGATAAAGTTATTTTTATTACTTAATTATTCGTAAATTATTTTAAAGGGTTTCGCAATTATCTTGTACTTTTATTAACTTGATTAAATGTCTTAAATGTTAGAAATAGTCGGAGTTTAATTCAAAAATAATTAAAAGGATAATTTCTGTTCCTTTTAATTATTTTTTGCTGTCTTCTTTACGTACGAAACGACGGCATTTTTATTTCCTATTAAGATTGAGAAAAAAGTAATCGATAATCGCAAGAAATACTTTTTATATTTTGTTATAATTATGATTAAAATGAGAAAACTTCCATTCGGACAAATATGTAAATTCGCCGATTATGGGGTGGAGTTTTATTCCCTTTCGTCGGGATGGTCTAAGGTCACGAGTATGTGATTTTAGGAGGCAGAAAAATATTGGTCTTTTACCTGTCTGTAGGTGAAAATTGAGAACAGATTAGGTGGCCAGATAGGACTATGTTCGCTTTTTGTTGATATCCCATTGTATACATTCTCGCTTCGCCTTTATTGCGTCTTAAGTTTTAAATATTTCTCTTTTTAATGTTCTTTTATTCTAAAATTTTGTTTACCCTTCTATTCCTTTCGAAGGACTATGTCAAAGTCCGGTGTCGTCGACTCGACATTTACGTAACTTGTTTTCTTGACGGTTTAAGTTAATAAATTTTACATTTCCTTTTTATTGACTATTTCCTTTGCTTCACAAATATAAAACAGATACATTTTATATTTATTTCATATTCAGTTAAATAATTTTTATTATAATAATTCTACTGGAGTCGAACGGAAACATTCTTTTGTGTCACAAAACAATCGATTACCACTATCCAGATAGTTTTAGAGAAAGAAAATGAATAATATTTTATTTACAATATCAAGTAGTATAGAAGAACAATTCCCGTGTAATCAATGTGCGAAACAAATTTTTTATTCGTAAATCATTCATTTAACGTTAATCCGATAATGTTCCTTCTAATGCAACGGAAATAAACCAGCGAATTAATAACTATGTACGTCATATTTCTGTAGGAAATGACGATTAACGTCACTGACGTTATAATTTAAAGTGTTGACGACGTAGCAACAATAAGGATATAGACTATTACTCGTTCCTAATCCTGTTTCATTGTTAATTCATTCTAAAAGTTGTACTTGCGAGATTCGTCTGTCGATGTAATTACCAGATTCATTGGACAAGATGAGGTTTGTAATCGTTTTTCAATTGCTATTTTTAGCGGTAAATTCTTGTCGAGAGTTTTGGCAACATTGGGGAAATGCTTCTTGTCCGTCATGGGAAGAGAGATGCTACAAATCGAAACACTTATCCTCCGTTGATATATATAAACAATCCTTATCCATCCAGTGCGGCCAGGAAAGGATCGACTCTCGTTTAATGCGATGTTTGAATGTTAGAAAAGTACAAAAGTTATTTATTAGAAATTGTTATCTGTCGAGGATCGACTTTGGAATATTCACTTTCGGATATGAAATCGAAGAAGTTTGGATATATAACGGAAGAGACCAGCAGGAAAGAAACTTCGAGAGCGCTTCGTTTAATAACATGTCCTCTCTGCGATCTGTCGTAATACGATACATCAGAACGTCGGAAATTCTAAACTTAACATTTCGCAATGTTCCATCGCTGACTTCATTGAGAATCGAATACTATAACTTCACTTTATTTCCGAAAGAACCTTTCCGAGAGTTAATTAATCTTTCCGAATTAGACATCGTGGAAGGAAATTTAACACTTTCACCAGATCTATTTTATAATCTTCACAAATTGACAACACTTGATTTAGGCCTACGTGGCAATAAACTTGAATCGATTCATCCACTCGTCTTTAGAAACCTCACTCGATTGGAAGTTTTATATTTAGGTTTCAATCGGATAAAGGATTTACCCAGTGACATGTTGAAAGGTCTTTTTAATTTAACGTTTTTTTCTATTGAGGGAAACCGTGAATTATCAGTAATTCCTTCCGGATTCTTTAAAAAACTGCACAATTTGACTATATTTTTTGCATCGAGTTGTTCGATTTCTTCACTCGCAGAAGACGTATTTTCTGACTTAATTAATTTGAAAATCGTCGATTTAGATTCCAACCAAATTGAACATCTCCCTCCAAATCTTCTGAGAAATAACAAACGACTGACACAGTTTTCTTGTTCGAGCAATAAAATATCGACACTTCCTACAGAAATATTTCACGGACTTTCTGAACTTCGATGGTTATCGTTGCGGGGAAATCTGTTAGAAAATCTTCCCGAAGATGTTTTTTCTGAATTTATCGTCATTGCAAGAACTCAGTTTATCAAGAAATCGCCTAACAGTTTTACCCGAAAATATCTTCTTCCCTTTGACTAATTTAACATATCTCGATCTATCTGAAAACAAATTAACTAAAATTATCGGTGAGCGTCCTTTCGGCAGCAGCAAAAATTTAACTCATGTCCGTTTAAATAAGGCAGGTTTGACACAATGGCCGGTGTTAGATTGGACACAATACGACTTGACTGAAGTCGATTTCTCAAATAATCGTTTTGAAACCGTCAAATTGCCAATTTACACAACAAATCGCGTGAAAATTGATCTGTCTAACTGTAAAATCAGAACAATTTACATGGATGACAAGCAATATGGATTTCAAATGCCGTCTTATGATTTAAGTAGAAATGAAATTATTTGTAACTACAAACTGCAGCAATTCGTTTTTGCCCTTAAGTCAAATATAGAAGTAGCAAAGAAAATGTTTCCAGATATAGAGAAAACGAAATGTTAGGAAAAAAAAATTTGCTGGATAATACATCTCTCGTAGTCATAGGAAATTATTGTCCGATGAATTGCCAATGTTTTACCGAAGAAAATCACATCATAGTCAATTGTTCCGGAAAGGGAATCGAAAGAATCCCCAACGTTCTCGTCCCGAATGCGGAGATTGTCGATTTGAGTAATAATTACATAAAAGAGTTGTCGGATGTCGATAGTGTGACGTGGAGAAACGTCACACATCTGCGTCTGAGTAATAATTTAATAAGTATTATTTGGGATTGTGTTCTTTTGCCAAACCTCAAATCTCTGTGGTTGGACGAAAACCGGTTAACCGAATTGTCTTACGGATTAATGAACTTGATCGACGTTTCTACGGAATTCCAGATTTACTTGTCCAGAAATAATTGGAATTGCCATTGCCATTCGCTTTTTACTAAGGACTGGTTGCTTAGAAACCGACAGAAAATTGCAGATTTCTCCAATATTTACTGCATAAGAAATTCGTCTTCTGTGTCTTTCACCGATATAATTCAAATGAAGAATGCACAGAAATTGCAGAAATAAATTTGACATCTTCAGTAAATGATTCTTCTCCGAACGAATATTAATTGGATCAAGTAAGTTCGGTTTTTGGATAGAAAATCGCAGTGGCCATTCTTACTTCGCTATTGTTATTCGGTTAAATTGTGTTTGCTTACTTTGTTTATTGTGGCAAAAAAAGAAATGTCCACAAAGTGCCAAAGCCTAAGGAAGAAGAAGTGATTTATTATAATATTTACGTTTGACAAATTATGTAATTCGGATAATTAAAATGCCCCGAGTTCCATCGCTTTGATGAATAATTGCTCATAAATTGCTATTATTTCTCATTTGCTTCTATTGAAATTAAGTTTGTGTACTTTTTTGTCATTATTATCACAAATTATATGAAATGTATAATTATTGCACAATAAAGCAGTAAATTAAGCATAAATAAATATTGGAGTTTAATAATTAAACGATATTTTCTGTACAGAAAGTTTTTAAACGAAAATAACATTTGATGACGCCAACCGTTATAAAATGTTATTTTAAAAATTTTTATATTTTGAACTATAATAAAATTGCAAAAAGCATAATTTTNGCTGGATAATACATCTCTCGTAGTCATAAGAAATTATTGTCCGATGAATTGCGAATGTTTTACCGAAGAAAATCACGTGATGGTCAATTGTTCCGGAAAGGGAATCGAAAGAATCCCCAACGTTCTCGTCCCGAATGCGGAGATTGTCGATTTGAGTGATAATTACATAAAAGAGTTGTCGGATGTCGATCGTGTGACGTGGAGAAACGTCATCCATCTGCGTCTGAGTAATAATTTAATAAGTATTATTTGGGATTGCGTTCTTTTGCCAAACCTCAAATCTCTGTGGTTGGACGGAAACCGGTTAACCGAATTGTCTTACGGATTAATGAACTTGATCGACGTTTCTACAGAATTCCAGATTTACTTGTCCAGAAATAATTGGAATTGCCATTGCCATTCGCTTTTTACTAAGGACTGGTTGCTTAGAAACAGACAGAAAATTGCAGATTTCTCCAATATTTACTGCAGAAGAAATTCGTCTTCTGTGTCTTTCACCGATATAATTCAAATGAAGAATGCAGAGAAATTGCAGAAATAAATTTGACATCTTCAGTAAATGATTCTTCTCCGAACGAATATTAATTGGATCAAGTAAGTTCGGTTTTTGGATAGAAAATCGCAGTGGCCATTCTTACTTCGCTATTGTTATTCGGTTGGATTGTGTTTGCTTACTCTGTTTATTGTGGCAAAAAAGGAAACGTCCACAAAGTGCCAAAGCCTAAGGAAGAAGAAGTGATTTATTATAATATTTACGTTTGACAAATTATGTAATTCGGATAATTAAAATGTTCCGTGTTCGATCGCTTGAATGAATAATTGCTCATAAATTGCTATTATTTCTCATTTGCTTCTATTGAAATTAAGTTTGTGTACTTTTTTGTCATTATTATCACAAATTATATGAAATGTATAATTATTGCACAATAAAGCAGTAAATTAAGCATAAATAAATATTGGAGTTTAATAATTAAACGATATTTTCTGTACAGAAAGTTTTTAAACGAAAATAACATTTGATGACGCCAACCGTTATAAAATGTTATTTTAAAAATTTTTATATTTTGAACTATAATAAAATTGCAAAAAGCATAATTTTGAGGGTAGAGACGAGTTTTATAAAAAATTGTAAATGCTAATAAAGAGTAAAAACTGGACATACTGGAGCTATCCGTACTGGAGTTACATATCGCCCCTTTATCTTTCCACCCTTCGACTTTTAGTTATAGCATCAGGGGAGCATCTGTCACTGATGTATTTTCGTTATTAGTTTATTTTTTTTTTATAGGTAAGCAATTTGTTATTTTTGGTTGTTTTTTTTATTTTTATTAACAGAGATGCTCCCAAACTTTAAACTTTAAATAATTATTAGATTTGATTTTTTAATCTTTAATTTATATCTAAATTGTTATTTATTTAATTTATTATTGTATGCTCTGTTTGTGATCTTATGATCATTGTATTTGTGTTTTTGTTCTTTGGGAGATAGTTTTGTTCCCCGCATCAAGGAGTGTATCCAGTACGCGTAATAAATAAATAAAAATAAATAAAAGGATAACAAACCTCATCTCGTCCGAAGACACTTCTAACTCAGTCGACGAAAGATACGCAATGGCGAAACCGCGTAATTAAGAATTTGATACTGTTGCTACTTTCTCGCGACTGATTGAAAACACGATAAATTACGATCTTAGTGACGTCGAAAGATTCATTTCAGACAGAAATCCTACGTGTTCAGTTTTTAATTTCCTCGTTTATTTCCGTTGTTCCTTGTTTCGCGCTTTTATTTCACGNATTACATTAACATGCGATTAGTGATAGTTTCTTTGCTTACTAGATATCTTATAGCAAAATAGAACTGACAATGAGTTATCTTGAACTACACTTAAGTAAATTTCCAAGAAAATGCCTAAAGGCTCTAAACTTTGCAACACCCCAATCGTGGCGCCGTGGCACCCCAGTTGAAAAACACTGTCTTAAGCAAATACACTTACTAGTGCCATAATAACTGTTGATGGTTATTTCTTAACTTATATATGCTGGAAGAGACAGACAGACAGACAGACATTATTCTTTATTAGTACACAAAGTACAGACCCGGTACCGCATTAGCACAACCGGGTGCACAGTTACAACAGGGTAAATTTACAGAGTATTATAAGATAAACATATATATGAACATTAGGATAAGAAAAAATAAAATAATAAAAATAAAATAAAAATGAAATAAATAAATAAATAAAATAAAATGAAGAAAATATAAAAGCATATAAAAGAGGATACATTACAGATAGTGCTTTACATAATACATACAAAGAAAGTAACATACAAGATGCACAATATACACAGATAAAGTACGTAGTAGGGAATATGGAATCCACTACTCAGTTGACAGGAGTTCGCCAGAAGTAGTTCTTTATCAGCTTCAGAAAGGCCATGAACAGCTCGTTATTCATCAACAAGTCGCTATGTTGACAAGGCCAGGATTTATCAGTAGGAAGAAGCATGCGAATGGGTACACGTGCATCCTCCAGCATGGGACAGTGGAAGACGTAGTGTTCCACCCCGTCCGGCACACCACATAGTTGGCAATGGTCACAGTTTGATTTATTGAATCTCACCAGGTAGCTATTAAACTTTCCATGGCCAGTTAGGAACTGGGTGACAAGGCTAGTATCACGGTGGAGAATGGTCCGGTTATTGTGAGAAACACTTGGGATGAAACTTTTGGTTATCCTTCCCGTTTCAGTGTTGTTCCATCTTGTTTGCCAGGTGTTCATAGCTTCATTTTTGAGGAGATACTTGATGTAGGTGACAGGAATGTAGGAATAGAGACTGCTGCCACTGTTTAGGCTGGCAGCCTCCCTTGCCAGATAGTCTGCTCTTTCATTACCTTGCAGTCCAGTGTGACCTCTAATCCAAGCGATGGCAAAGACATTGGTGGAGAGTGCAATACTAGTTTGTATCTTGACCACGATCGGGTTCCGTGGTAGATGATTGTTGATGGCCTCTATCGTAGATTGACAATCTGTAAATATGTTTATCCGGTTATCACTGTAGTTTTCATTGCACCAGTCGATGGCTAATAGGATGGCTGTAAGTTCTGCCTGGTAAACAGAGCAGTTTGCAGCAAGGTGACCGGATGCATTGTAGAATTCAACTCCTTTGCGATAGGCCACAAAGGCACTACCGACTTTGTCTGCAGTTTTAGACCCATCAGTGAATATTGAAAAGTGGTCGTTGTCCAGTGGGTGCGTATGTATGTGGGGTCTCATAAAAGGAGGAAGTAGATCCTTCGGGTGGCAAAAGGTCTCGTATACCGAGAAAGACTGGCTGGATAGTGAAATGCTATGACCTTTACGGAGGTGCCAACGTTTGGATGCCAGTAGAATGGCAAGGTCTATAGGAAGTTTGCCAGAGATGATCTGTAAGGCAGCCGTGGAAGAGGTGGAATAGGCACGGCAGATGCGCAGGAGGGCTTTGCGCTGTGCACCACGGAGTTTTCGATCGATGTGCACACGGCTTAAACAGCCTGCCCAAACAGGGGCAGCATAACAGATCATAGGCAGAAAGACACTATCATAAATGATAGAGAGAATAGTTGGGGATAAACCCCATTTGGACTTTGCCACCTTAGAGACATAATTAAACAGATGGTTAGTCTTGTCCGTTACATGCTTGATGTGGTCGGCCCAGCTGAGTTTATGGTCGATAATGACCCCGAGGTATTTAATAGTAGTAGAGATCTTGATGGAGACCCCTCCATTTTTATAGTGGGTGGCCTACGGTACAGATGGGGTTTTCTAGGATTGGTGAAAACGATACCTTTGGTTTTGTTGGCATTGAACTTCAGTTTATGAGTGCAGCCCCATTCCAAGACGTTGTCAATAAGAAGTTTGGCCTTGCACTCCAAATCAGAGCGAGAGTAGGCCGCCACTAGGATCATTGCATCGTCAGCATATGCAAAGATCCTGTCGCAACCTGAAATATCAGTGGGAAAGTCATTAAAAAGAAGGTTCCATAGAACTGGACCTGAGACAGAACCTTGAGGGCAACCTCTGTAAGTCCTTCTCCTAAAATCGAGGTTGCCAGAAGAGAAGGTGACATACCTGTTATTGAGGTAGTCACTATAAGCATTATAGATGTTGGCAGGACATCGAGCCTGCCGCAGCTGTTGAAGAATGAGCGGCCACCAAGCAGCATTGAAGGCATTACTGATGTCCAGGCTAAGCCCCAAGACATACGGATAGGACTGAAGAAGATGTTTGACTTTATTAGTCATAGCAAGAATGGCATCCGTTGTACCCCGGCCTTGTCTAAAGCCAAATTGTTGGGGACTGAGGAAGTTAGTAGTCTCGAGGTGCCAGCTTAGCCTGTTACATAGAAGACGGTCATAGACTTTGGATAGAGTAGGTAAAAGGGAAATACAGCGATAGTTGTTGGGAGTGCAGATGGGTTGATTTGCAACCTTTGGAATGGGGACAATCCTAGCTTCCTTCCACTTGTCTGGGAAGACACCATAACGGAAACAAGTGTTTATCAAATGGATGATGACAGTTGGGCGGTTGGTCCATATATTCTTCACAATCTCAGTTGTGATGCCATCCAAACCAGGTGCTTTATGTGGGGGGAGTTTGCCGATAGCCCAGTTAACCTCAGCATGGGTGAAAAGTGGGGCATCCTCCGTGTCCAGAGGTTTGCCAGTGCAGTCCCTGATGGTATTATGGAGCCCAGTGTCCTCTGTACAATCATCTTCCAGGCAGACAGTGTCCAGAATGGCGTTGATGGTGGTATTCAAGTCAGTGGTATGACCATAATCCGTGTTAAGGGTTGACAGGCAAGAAGGGTGTTTAAGTTTATTCGCGCAGAGGCGGTATACAAAGCCCCATGGGTTGATGTGGGCTGCAGAGCAGAAGTTTCTCCAGGATGTTGTCTTTGCCTCCTTTATTGCCTTTTTGTAATTTACTTGATATGTCAGGTATTGTTGCTTAAGGGTGTCTCTTTCTGAACCCCTGCTCCTTTGGAACTGCTTACGCAGCCTGTTGTTAATCGCTCTCATGTTGGCTAGGTCATTATTCCACCATGGTACATCCATAGTGCTGTGTTTACGAAGTGGAATGGCTTTCTTGCAGGCTTTGTCGATTGCCTGAATAGTGCTGTTGGCAGCATTAATGGCTGAGTCCCTTGATGTTACCATGCCTGTAGTTGTTGTAAGTGTATCAAGTGTCTTGTAAAAATCCTCCCAGTTGGCTCTTCTTACATTGTAGCGTTTAATACTGTTTACAATAGGTTTGCCTGAGCCAGCGCAGATGGAAAACTCAATCCCACTATGGTCAGAGAGACTATCGCTCTCGCAAACATGCCAGTCGTGGATCCAAGTGTGGCTTCTAGTTGTGGCCAGAGTGATGTCAATCCAAGAGAACCGATTGGGTCCCTGATAGGTGGGGGGAGTTGGGGTCATTGAGACAAAGCAAGCCGTTGGAGGCCAGAAGATCTTCAAAGGCCTTTCCTTCCCCGTCTAGTTGATCCCCACCCCAGGTTGGAGAGTGTGCATTAGAGTCACCTCCTATGACTAACTGTGCATGGGAGAAATTCTTGATGGCTGCATCGAGGTTTTTCATGATGGAGTGGTAGTTATCCCCTTTTTGACAGTAGAAGCTACCGATAATGATGGTGTTATCCCCCAGCTTGGTCTCAACCCAGACCATTTTGTCGTTGCTGGAGTGCTGGTGAAACAGAACATGCAGTCTGTTTCTGGGGATGATGATGGTAGCCCATGGATAAGAATTGCGGGACTGGATGACTAAGTGGGAATGTGAAAGGTTGGCGACTCTATTCTTAACACAGTAGGGTTCCTGGGCAAGGATAAGGTCAAAGTTGTTAATAATGGTACAGAGGTGTGAAGTGGCATTAATTGAGCGTTGTAAGTTAATCTGCAGAATTCTAATCCTATCCGGTTCACTCCCCATAGTCGGTTCTTTGTATTAGTTGTGACTTCATCCTTTTGTAGGTGGGACATTCTTTATCAAATGCATTGTGTGCACACTCTGTATTTTTGTTTTTCTTGCAGTTAGTACATTCAGCAGTAGTGTTCTTGTTTGGACAGTCTTTGAAACGGTGTTGTCCCCCACATTGACTACATGTTGCCCTCTCTTGGGTACACAGGGTACTGATGTGGCCATACCCACAGCATTTAAAGCATTGCGTTATGGAGAAATGGTCATTTACTGGGCAACGCACCCATTCTATATTGACCCGTTTGGAATCCAGTAAGAGTTTCCTAATCCTGGGTGAGACATCCACAAGCCACGCAACTATGCCTGGGTCACGATTCTTAATAGTTACATGTGCAGAAAACTCCTTGTTAAATTCTTCTACACTCATGTTAGAGTGAATTATCTCATTCTGGCTGTATACGGCATCTGTAAAATCTTGTTTTGTCAAATGTGTAGGAACAAATCCAATTCTGATTCTTGGTTTCTGCTTTGGGGGAACCTGTGTTTTAAGGTCAGGTGCCAATTCCTGTATCACACCTTTCAGAGTCACAATGTCCTGCTTTGCAGAGACATCTATGGCCACACCTCCCCTACCGATTCTCCTAATTCCCTTTACGCCAACTTTTAATTTTGCTGGGTTAATTTTTTCTTTTAAAATCTTTTTAGTCTCCTCAGAGCCCTTGGACTCGTCCTGACAGTAGAAAAGAAGGGTATTGCTGGCAGCTTTAGCCACTCCTGGGTTTCAGAAGTGTGTCTCTGTATGAAGGGGTTGAGAAGTGGCCAGATGTAGGTAATGAGGTGGGAGCCTTCTTGTACATACTATGCATGTCTGACTTCAAACGTGTGTGTATGCCATTGCTCATTTCTCTACAGTCTTTTTTAGTGGCTAACTCAGAGACTTTTTGGTTAAGTTTCATCAAATCGTGGTTGACCCATGCACTGTCGAAAAGGTCAATGATTTTTTGGGCCTGCCCGATGATAAAACCTGAGTTCTTGTTGGTACCCATGTGGCCATTTTTGTTGGACTGGAGGAAGTCTTTTAGGTCTTCTAATATATCATATGCTTTGAGTCGGAAAGTGGAATATTCAACAATTTCTTCATCTTTGTTGAGGGAGTCATCATATAAAGAGTCATTCTTGTCACCCATGATAGAACCCATAGGGCTAACATGGGGTTGAGCCATTGTTAGACAAACAAAACAAAAGAGTAAACAGAATCGGCTAAGCCGCGCCGAGTGGCTGTCCAAGCACGTGGCCAGGGAGCTTTGCTTTGTCTAACAATATAAATAAAGTCACGAATAACTCAGCGAATAATACCCGTACAAAAACAAAATTTGGGGGACCGATAGACGGGCCAGCGGGCTATTGAAAACCGTCGAGATAGCGAACCGATTGCTAATGGGTGGCCCGATGCGGGCCGACAAAAACCCAAAAACTCGGACGGTAATAACACGATAGTGAATTATCCGATCCAAACAAACATTGTACTCACGGTTAGCCGACGATAAGACGATTCCGTTGATGTATAATAATCCAAAGTGCGACAAAAAAAACACGGAAAAAACGCGATCGGAAACGGAGCCGAATGACACTCACTTCCCCGCTCTATGCAAGGGAGAAAAGATTAGAAATTTGGTTGCATTCGATCATCTATTCTTGTGAAAAATGTTGCTAGTCCAAGATCACCTATAATGTAAAAAAATGGAACAAGCGCTAATATTATGGTTAGAAGATATGAACAAGAAACGGTTGCTTTTAAATAAAGCAACCGTTTCTTGTTCATATCTTCTAACCATTAAACCACTTAAACACAAAGCGTTAAAAATATTTGATTATTTAAAAACAAATGGGACAGTCATCAGTTACAGTGGCGTAGCGTGGGTGTCAGCCGCCCGGAACAGAGGAAAATTTTGCTGCCCACCTATTTAGGTATCTCAGTTTAAAAGACTAAAATTCAGTTTTGTCACAGAATAAGTAATGAACAATTCCGTGCTCATTTCAATCGGTCCGAATCATAGGTGCGACAAAAATATGAAATGAAATGGTTCAAATTTTTACAAGATATTATTATTNTTTTTATCGTCTGTGAAGAAAAGGAAATATCCTTCTCAGAACATTAAAACTATCACATTTACCAATGCATTTTCATTTTCAAGGTTTCATTCAAACTAGGACACATTTTTCCTATAAGTGAGAATAATATAATATAGATTACAGGATATCTATATCTATACAATCACCACCAAAATCACCAAAAAGATTTAGAAGTGACATTCCCTATCCCAGCCCTGTCCAACCACAGCCACAGGATGCATGCAGCCCAAATGGAGTTTTCCTACAGCCCTTCTGAAGCATCTATCTATATATTTTACATTTTGTTATTCATAACATTAAAAAAATCTTATATTGTGTAAATTTAACAAGTAAAAAGCCATTAGCAAGCAGATCATGTGTGTGCCCAATATCAGCCGATAACAAACAACTGAAGGTAAGTCTTATGTCTGCCAAAGTGAACTGCTTCAACTCTGCTCCAGTCAGACTTTTCCACTTGAATCAGCGCATCCAGT